GCATCCTGGTCGTGCCGACTCGCCTCCTCGGCCCCATCAGCCGCCTCACCTTCATGAGGTGGGGAATCAAGGTGAATGACTGAATCGTTCGGCTGGGGTTCAGCGTCAGCAGTGGCTATAGAAGGAACCACGGTTGACAATTGGGGAGCGGTCAGTGGCAGAGCGGTAGGAGGAGCTGTGATGATCCTTGAGGATGCGATGTCCTGGCACTCATCAAATATACGCTCCGCTTCGGTAGGTTCTGGGTCGACATAGACCCCCAGAGGTTCGATCCCCAGATCTTTGTCTACCTCATCCGGAGTGGAGCTGGTCTGTCCCTCATCCGGAACCCGGTCGGCGAAACCTTCCCGGAATCCTTGAGCATACCTAAGAGCACCGACCCTTGAGAACCGGGCGTGAAAGGCCAGCATCCCACCACCCACTCTGCTGATCGCGTCGATCAGAGCGGTACGCTCGTCCAGAGCTCTTCTTTCAAAGGCCATCCGAGCAGATTGTTCATCAGCTAGAAGGCGCTGGAGTTCTGCCTTCTTTTCTCTAATTGATTCCCGCTCGGTCTGCCAGACGCTCTTCTCAAGCTGGAGGGCGTCCTTCTCATCCTGAAGGGAATCATTCTCCTTCTTCAGGACATCTCTCTCTTGCTCGGTTTTGTCAAGCCGAACCAGCACCTCGGTATTCTTCATGGCAAGGAGGTCGTTTTCTTTATTAGCCACCTCCAGGCTGTCAGAATACTTACGGGCCCTGGCGTTCCCCATCTCCACCTGCTTCTGCATGGCCATCATCCCGAACAATGTCTGCATAGGTGCACATTAAAAACGGTTAAACCAATAGTCAGAACGGGCGAAGGCAAGACCAAGTAATATGAGAGAATTCATGAGTTAGAAAATAAAAGTCACCTCCATAGCAGATTGGGGAAAGCGACTGAACACGTCCTTCTGGGAAAGGCCCTTTGCCGCCTCAAGGTCCTTCGGAGTCCACATGCTCCTGTAGTAGGCCATAGCGGTCTGGCCATCCTTCAGCATGGTCTCGTTCGGTTTCACGAACGTCCCATCCGTTCGGGTGTACCGAGGGGCCCATGGCGGTAAGCTGGGGATAGAAGGGGGGCCTGAAGCAGAAGCAGAGCCACCAGCTGCAGGAGGCCCAGAGGGAGAAGGAGCTCTGATCACTCGGTGCAAGAGAGTACCCGGCCCAGAGACCCGGGTCCTTCTAATGAGAGGCTCCTCCTCAGGATCGATTTCACTGTCAGGATGAGGCCTTTTGCCTCGTTCTTTGTCCCGACCGCCCCCCGCAGCAGCAGGAGCTATGGTAGCTGGGGAGGGCGCGTTCTGGTTGGCAGCAGGGGCGCTGGCAACAGGGTTAGTAGCCACTGCGCTCGGGACAGTGTCAGATATGGTGGTTGAAGAAGAAGCTGACGCTGGAGAGGAGGTCGCCCCAGCAGCAGGAGTGGCTGGGGGATTATTTTTCCTCCTGCCAAAAGAGGGAATCTGAAGTCTGCTCATGTTGTAGCCGAGTGATGAGAGCGCTAAGAGGTTGTCTGAAGTGAGGAGATCTGAGCAGGAAGGAATATCGTTCAGAACGTATCTCTTCAAGTAGTTACTCCTATCCCTGCAAACACTATAGCTCAAGTCATCACAAGGTATTCCCAAGGAGCGGCATAAGTAAGTGCAAAAACGAGGAACGCATGTTTCACAGGGGCAGTCATGTTTATGGGACTTGAATTTTTTATAGGAGGAGACAGAGCAGACACCAAAGGCGCTCGGGATTGGGTAACCCTCTGCAGCCGGCGAAGACCAAGCCCCACTAATGCCCACTATGCTATCCCTCCAACCCTTTTCAGATTTTATTATGTCAGTACATATGGACATCTTCTCGAACGGGTAGAGGTGGTAGAAGGGCTCGTTAGTACGGATCTTACTCACCTTATAGCACAGAAGGAGGTCTATGAGGTCGAGGTCCAGATTTCTGTCACGCATCAACAAGAGCATAACAGATATGATTCTAAAGAAGTTGGGGTTGACCTGCAGAGGGGATATCCCCAATCTATTGAAGACATAACTAAAGAAAGGGTGCAGAGGGAACCTAACAACATTCAATTGAAGGTTCGTGAATAAGACTTCGCCAGGCAGGAGGCCGGCGCCGGTCGTAATATTAACGTCTTGGGGGCAAACCCTAACTTCGATGTTGTCAGGAAGTCTAAGTCTCATACGAAGAACATCCAGATCTACAACCATGGTGGAAGTGATAGAAGAATCTACAAGAGGGTAAATGGAAGCCTGCCGAAAGTAAAAAGAACGAAACTAACCTCGGAGGACTGCAAGATCGCTGGAAGAATGACTCTTGAAGGATTTCACCAAGGAAAGCTTAGCACTGTTCTAGAAAAGAGAGAGACTTGGCTGATGATGGAGACGGTAAAGGGAAGTGAAGTGGAATTCTAGAGCATTATAAAGGCGAGGGGGCCCGAGGGCCGAAGCGTCGGGAAGGCGAGAAATCCCTCGAGCCCCGGAACATTGATGCTGGATCTGACCGTCCGCTCCCCCACGTGGTTATCTCGAGCCGTCAACATCATGATGAGACGCCATCAATAATTACCCCTTATTAAATAAGGGGCAATTATGGGGGCAGTTGAGGAGGCCCCGGATGACATGGGCCAGATCCGACTCGCAAATATAGCATTCAGTCCGTACAGCTGGGCCAGCCCATAGAAGGACACTGCCATATGGGCCGAACGAGAGTAAGACCATCAAAGGTGACCAAGGCTTACGAAGGAATAGGCCCAGATCCAGCAATTAGTAAATATCTTGTAAATATCTTGTAAATATCTATAAATAGGAGATGGAATGAAATGGAGGAGGAGCTTTTTGAGGGTTGAGGTGTAAGAATTCTAGAGAGAGAAAGAGGAGAAAGAATTTCTTGCATCTTCAGAGTTACATTCATCTGATTTTCAATTAGCCAAGTTATTGTAAGCTCTGACTAAAAAATCTTATCATCTATTTCAACTTAACAAATTAGGCTCGACAATAATGAGTCTCTGCAGATTCATTTGATTTCAATTGTTGGGTCAGTCCAGTTTTCAGAAATTCCCAGCCCAGTGGGCTCAAGCGCATTAAATCACTTTAAATGCTTTAATGTGTGGCGGCTGAAGCCTCAAGCTTATGAAATACTGTATTTAATTGGTCTAATGGTGTGGTGTTGTGTTGTATGTCTAATCAAGCACTATATATATATATATATATATATATATATATATATTGCCGTGTGGAAAGTGAGATTGTCTTTTGGTAGGGAAGGCCTCCAATGAGGAGGCGCAGTTTTCCGCTTCGCAACAAACCACACACCTCGATAACCTCATTTATAAATCAGGTGGAATTTGGAATGGACAACCCACATCCTATGAAAAGTAAACTTGAGCCGCCGCCCTACAAGAATAGAATAGCTGTCTGTCGTGTAGAACGGGTTAGATGACAAAAATACAGAAAGCGTGCACAATTCTATGTCAGTCGGACTAATGAATAAGTTAAGTCTTAACAGGAGGTAATTATGACGTCAAGCAAAAAAAAATTAAAACATTTATGCATGGCTATCCATAGGATTTAGGACGTGATTGATTTTTAATCAATCATTGAAATTTTTTATTTTACCAATGTTTGATATGAAAATTTTAAAATTAGGTGATCCATGGTTTTGTTTGCTTTTGATTCCCCCTCCTCCAAAGTCATAAAGCAAAGGCTCAGTTTCCAACTCGCAATCAAAATTTCTTTTCCTAACACACACTCGAAGAATGATGATTGTTTTGACTCTATACATTGAAAATGGTGGTTATTGTCATGTACTTATTATATGATATATAGTTGGTGGTGAGACAAATTGTTATTTGGAATCAAAATTTAAAACCGATTAAACTATCTGAATACCATACAATTTTGTTACCAACTTTTGATTTATGTATTCAAAATTCTATTATTATGGTCTGGTTACGGGGTGAGCACCTATTTGATTATTATATTTTCTCTCCCCTTATTTTAATCATTTCATTTTGATAAGAAGAGCTGATTTCATGATAGAAATATATAAATAAATAAAAAAAGTTAGGGTAATTATTAATTTTGTAAGAATAATTATTTACCAATACTTAGTTCTAGTGAATATCTATAATATATTTAATGTGAACTAATAATAAATGGACACGTCTTATTTTAATTACCAAAATTATATATGGTAATCAAGTATATCTGATTTAGTGAGTGAATATCTATTCATTATCTTTGATCTCGTAATTAAAGGTTACATGTTTCTTTATTATTCGTTTATTTTAACAATGAGTATATTGTAAATTTTTACCCGTGAAGACCTAAATATTACCATAATAATTTACAAGTATAATTAGATAAGAACAATACTTAGATCCTCACTGATGGAGATCTACACCATATTATACTATCGTTGATGTGGACCAATAATAAATAGACATATCATCATTAATTACCAAATTTAATATGGTGGATAGATACCCACTTAAGGTGATTTGATTACCATTTATGATTTGGTAATTAAAACAGAGTGTACATTTATTATTGGCTGTCAGTATGGCATAAATCTCATTCACGAAGTCCTAAGTATTATTCTTTAAATAATTATAAAATTTTATTTATCTGAATAGATTCAGTAACTATAGGGTTCATAAATTACTATTTTTTAAAAATTTATTTTCCGTTATTATAATCCTTAAATAACACTTATTTTTAGTTGACTCATTGCATTATAATTTTTGTTATTTGATTCATATAGTAATTTTTAATTAAAAAACAAAATTAGAGAATATACTACGTATATATATTTAACACGGTGAGTTATTTATTTAGTTATTATAGGAGCAAATTATTTCCCCAAACCCCCGTGACATATTTGGACAACACCCGGACAAAGGCAAGGAGGGTGATCTGTAAATGTCTTAAAATCAATTATTAACATAAAAGCCGTTCAACGAGTATATATATTGGTTTTGTGTATTTTAATTATATATACTAGTATAGTAATATATATTGCAGATCATTTCTATAGCTGATGATGGTGATATCAATCTCAAAATACTGATATATCACATCGTCTGCTTCGTTCTCCATTTCCAAACACTTCTCTCTCTGTATGTATCCATCTATATACGTGTAATTATACATGCATACATATATATATATATATATATATAGATTACATATATTAGGAATTTATTTTCAACAGTGCCCTATGTAATCAATCTATTTATCCGTTGATTGTATCATCATCGGTCAGGTGTGTCGAGGTTTCTGCAATGGAAAGTATGGCACAAGGACGATTTGAAGGGTGGGAGATTCATGGTTTCCGTACAATGGAAGGTGTGAATACACTTCTTGTAGTCGAAATTGTTGTTGTTTCTAATTGAAGCTTCAATTTAGTTCGGGGATTGTTGTGGTGATGGTGGTGTTGGTGTTGTTATTTTGTACTGAAATTCTTGTTGTTTCTGATTGAAGCTTCCATTTTGTTCTCTGATTGATATGGTGATGGTGTTGTTATTTTCTTAATCAATGTGTTTAGATGAACTTTAAGTTAACTTATTGTTTAATCGGTGATAGCAAAATCACCACCATCCTTTCATTGATTTTGAGGGGTTGTGAGTTATGTTTTCTGTTTGGGACACAAGGTAGCATGCCCTCATATGTTGGATTTCTAGCCCCAAGATACTCCGTTTCTCTTGGTAGTAAATTTCCAATCCTCAGGCTGGAAATCCGGTGTCAACATGTATTGGTTCAGGTAATGAAGCTGGATCATAATTAAAGTAACCCTTGCTGGGGTTTATTGAGTGAGTTGTGGGATATATACATCAGTGGGTTTCATGAATTTCCTAATGGATGGTTAAAACTGTGAATATTATTTTTACCCTATTTTTAACAGTAAATTAATTTCTCGCTGGTTTGCTGCTGGACAGTAATCATGGTGGTCTTGGTTGTGCTTTGTTCTCTCTTATTTTCTTCACTTTCTTGATTACACAGCTGCACATGATCCTTGAGGGTGTTTCACATTTTTCGTATTCTGCACTTAATGAGTTATTGATTCAGGGTGTATATTTAATCATGTCATATTGATGTTATTTTCAAATAGCAGATTTCATTATGTTATATTGATGTTATCTGCAAATTTTTTCCTGGATGATATTATCTGCATTCTTTTATCTTTTTATTTTTTATAAGTAAATGATGTTATCTGCATTTGATCTAATGAAAATTATATACAATCTGAGTCTGAAATGTTTTTCAGTTTTCGAGATCTGAACTTTTTGTTATAAACAAAAAGAGATTGCAAAAGGAGAGGAGGGCATTATGTGGTAATTTGATTGATGTTAAAAATGAATCACTGTGCATGTTTAAAGTTTAGTATTATATTGTGAATTCCATTTATCAAATGATGACTTGTGCTTGTCATGTTTGACACAAATAGCCTGGTGCTGATTTTTTGGTGTGCTCAATTGGTCGTCAAAATTTGTTTTGTTTATTTTATATTTTTCTTTGTTTGTAAGTGGCCATTGCTTTGTCCAACTATGGAAAATTGGGTTTGCAAGTGTCAAGACACTAGTTTGAAATCAGCAATAAATGATAACCACTTTAAAAGCCGGAAAACAGGTCTACACCCAACTTAACTCCTACTCCATAGATAGTGAATTGATCGGACCTGCTGGGTGATAGCCTTACTTTCTTGTTTATTTTTTAAATTTCGTGTAGTTAAATTGAGGATGTTGAGATGGTTCCGTGGTAGGCTAAGAAAATTAGAGTTAGAATTGAATGAATGCAAAGTCATTTATTGAAATCTAGATGAGAGAGCAATAGTGTTAGCCATGCACAAGGAAGAAATGAAGCACAGTGGCTAAATGGGATTCATATAGCTGTAACACATAGTAAGGTTGTGGCTTCATTGAGTTCAGTTCCCCTCTTTCAGTCTTTCTAACTCATTTCTCTTTCTTTAATGTCCGTTCATATCACTTCTTATTTTATTTATTGATTGACTATTATATTATATATAGAATTCAATAAATTGTTATTTGGTTACAATAACTTTTTGGCCTAGATTTTAGTTGATCGATGTTATTGTTATAATGCGTGTTCATATAAGTTTTCATACTTATTGATTACTACGTATTTTCTTGATTGACAGATTTGGATATTGGCAACATAATGGAGGAAGCTAAAGCAAGATGGCTCCGGCCAAATGAGATTTATGCAATTCTCTGTAACTATAGATATTTCAGCATCAATGTCAAGCCAGTGAACTTGCCAAAAAGTAACCTCTGTTAATTGTAGCATAAATGTAATATATTGCAAGTTCAAATACAACAGCACCACTGCCCCCGCGGCCGCCCGCAATTTCCTTTAACCCTGGAGATAAAACATTCATAAAAGTAACAATTACATTGATATTATTATATAAGTAGTCAATGGAAGATCATCATTAGTTAAAAGGTGAATGAGACATGGATCATACTCTCTTTTTACCACCATTATGCTGAAATTTGTTAATTGTAGGACTGTTTCATTCATGCTGATCTAATTTTAGTTTTCCTTAATAGTATGGTTTGAGTGCTAATATAGTTTGCAATCGTATATGTCATTTTCTCATGAATTGAACTCCTTTTGGTCTTCTACGTTCTCTCTCAATAATTTTCCCATTTAAAAATAATGGCTCTAGACTCACACTATGGGGAGCTGGCAAATTTCTTAGCCACAAATATCTCTCATCTATGTAGCTGATTTTCTCGTTTTTGAAATGCCGGTCTCATTTTGAACTTCATAGTTGAGACAGGTTAAGCTGGCTGGTGCCACATTCAGCTATGTCATACAACCGTGATCAGTATTGAGATCTTATTTATTTATTTTTTTATCAGTTTCACCATAGTTTGGCACCAGTAAGCATGTTCATTTTGGTACCATACACTTTGCAATACAAGAGCATGCATTGTGTATCTTTGCATGCTTTTCCCAAATTTATGGGGATGGATAATCAATAATTTTAACGAGTGTTAGTTTTGTCCATCGGGTATTATAGATTATGGAGAAGTGTGGGAAATTTAATTGTTCGGGATGATTTCTTGATTGTTGGTGTGCTGCAACCTTAGGCCTGTAGTTGTAAATGTTAAAGAGGATAATTCTTTCCTTGTCATAAGCTAATTAATTGTAGTGTCACATCTAATGTATAAGAACCCCAAATTTATTAGGACTTTTTTCTCTTGCGTAGTGGGTTGTTAACTACACTTGATAATTAGGATCTATCCTTAAAAAGTGTCACTAGGCATCTCGTGTAAGATGACATATATATTTTTAGAGGCAGCATAATCGGGACAACAACAAAGTGCTGTGGTTCATGTTCTTTTACATCGAAGACCTAGTGATGCGCCGGTGAAATGAGGAAGACTAGTTATAATAGAAGGTAAGAGATGGAGAGGAAGGCTAAAAATAACATGGGACGAGGTTATTAAAAATGATTTTAAAAAGTTTAATATAGTATTTTTTTTTTTCTGAATAAAGTTTAATATAGTAGGTGAATTGGCTTGTAATAGAAAAGCTTGGAGAGAGATAATTCATGTGGCTGACCCATTTATATGGGATTAAGGCAAGGATGATGATGATGATGATCTCAGTTGAGTTTGAATTTTATTATTTTATGTGGTTTTGGGGGTTAGATGTGTAAAATATCAAATTAAATAGCCATTGCCAACTTTGTGTTAAATATTTGAAGTGGCCATTGCCAACTCTAATTGTATTATATTAAACCCTTATCTTATATATATGTGTGTGTGTGGTCAAGGCGATATTTGTTGCAAAGTTAACCCGCACGGGTGGCCCAGTGGATAAGTATCTCCTAGGGCAACCTGTAAACTTGAACATCTTGGGTTCGACCCCCAGAGGGTGCAAAAACACCTAGGTTTAAATGATGTGTAGTTTGTGGCCGATTGCAGATATCTAAGGTTTACTTTGCAGCCTTGTGTACCAAAGTTCAACAGGTTGCAAGGGTTCCCTTCCAAAAGAAAAAAAAAATGTTACAAAGTTAGAAATATTCTCTCTATACTTCTTACCTTCTAAACGTATTACATTCTTGTTCTTGAGTTAAACGATGATTGAAGCTTTGAGGAATGTATATGAGATGAGACTTCTTTATCAATAGATAGTAATGGATAGTAAAATGGTTCTATCTAATCTTGGTCATTCTTTTCTTTTAATGTAATAGGTGGCAGAATTGTTTTGTTTGACCGTAAGATGCTCAGGAACTTTAGAAAAGACGGACATAACTGGAAGAAGAAAAAGGATGGTAAAACCGTTAAAGAAGCTCATGAACACTTAAAAGTAAGGTTTTCAAGTTGTTCATTTCATTCGGCACAATCATCTGTTTATTTGACTAATGGTTGCTTAATGACCTGGCAATGTTCCTTCAATATGCACTCACTGTATCTTTTTCCCAGGGTTTATCATGTTTTCAAATAGATGAAATACTTTTTGTGTCTTATTTTATTCTGAAAAGTCTGAAATACATATGTCATGTCCTATTATTAAACTAACAATATAAAGTAATATTTTTTTTTTGATAAGTAACAATATAAAGTAATATTATGGTCTTGTATAGAGTTGAGTGAAGAAAAGGGCACATATTAATAAACCAAGTAGTTAATGCAAGAAATTTTTAGCTGGGTTGAGTTCAGCCAAGTTTTGCGACCTGCTCTGTTAATAGCCCTTTCTTTCTCTTTGCAAATTGATGACTTATTTGTTGTATGCTATTGCAATTTTCAAAAAGAAAGAAAAAATTTGTTGTATGCTATTATAGAAATATGATCACATGCTACATGAAATTTGTCAATATGTTTGTCCAAACTTGTAAAAATATTATATTGTATTGTTAATAATTCAAGTAATCCATCAAATATCATACTGATTGCTTGATGTGGATATGGTGTAAAACTAAGTTAGTGAAGGATCCAAAGTCAGGCAACCTCTATAATATGCGTTAAATGGTTTCTATGTATTATGAGTTTACAGCCCACAAAAGGAAATACTACAAACACTGTTACAAAATGGAAGTAGCACACAATTTAATGTAATGTATGATGAAAAAGTAGATGATCTTGTATATAGAACTTTAGAAAACTTTACTACGATGGATGCACTCATATCTTCCTGCACAGTAGTTCTAATTAAATTACTTAGTGTTGATCAGCAATCCTCTAAATAAGGGGAGTTCTTAATGCAAGAAGGCATCCTTGTTCATATATATATATATATACATTTTAAATATGTAAGTTTATCAAGGGAGTCTAGTCAAGTTAATACTAAGGGCTTAGTTCAAGTGGTATCTCCTCCTCCTTCCAATGGAAGCTTGAGGGTTTGAGTCCCTAGTGGACAATAATCGGGAAAAATAAAAAATTTGGGGAGTCTACTCAAGTATCTCCTTGTCTCATCCTTCCATACTGGAGGTTGAGGGTTCAAATCCCACTGGGGCATAGTGTGCGCGCGCGCTTGAGTTGAGTTGGTTCTGTGTATTCTTACTTCTTATTTACCAGAGAAAAAAAGGTTTATTAAGGGAGTTGGTGTTTGGCTAGTTTTCTATGTTACTTCAACTGGCCTGGTCCAAAACTTGCAATATTTCTCTATCAGCATGAAAAACAAAGTTGGTTTTTGTTTCTGCTGGTATAGTTTTCTGTTCTTCTTCTTCTTCTTTTATTTATTATTATTTTTATATATATATATATATATATATATATATATTTGTCCCATCCTTTATAATGTATGTACTGAGGAGCCCTCTGCCACTCCATACCTATATGTGTTCTTGAGTACAACTTTTTGGTGATATGTTAAAAGAGTTGTTACCCAGTATGGTACTTGTTAATCAAGGAGGTTGGATATAAATTCCTCTTCACGTCCCCTTAAAAAACAAAAACATATTTTCTATTAAAATGGTTAGTGTTATCCTGAAATTTTAACTTGGCCCAAATATCTATTGTCATGGAATGAACTTTCAATTGATAGAGTTGCTCATCTGCCTTTCTGTTTCATGGTGCAGGTTGGTAATGAAGAAAGGATCCATGTATATTATGCTCATGGCCAAGATGAACCGACCTTCGTTCGCAGATGTTATTGGCTTCTTGATAAGTACGCAATGATTCCGTGATTCAATCATTCTTACTTGTTTCCTCTAAATCCACTGTGATATCAAAGATAATGCAATTCCTTACTCTGGCATGACAGTCAAGAAAGGTTGATTTTGTTATCTCTGAACTTTGATTAGCTGTTATTTTGTTCAGGACTCTGGAACACATAGTCCTCGTCCATTATCGTGAAACCCAAGAGGTTGGTTTCTTATACTTCATTGGAACTCTCTCTTCCCCCCTTCGACATACATATATATGCACTTTATTCCACGAATATAATTTTTTTTCTTCATGATAACGGTTTTGGTAATGAAATTAATAAAAGAACTCCAGGAAGAGAATGATTTAAGTATTAGTTCCTACTGTATACTAGCTATTTCTAAGAGACTTGTGAATTTGGGATTTATGCCAAGTCCCTCTCAAGTATATACCAAAACCATAGACATTGTCAGCACTTGTAAGAAAAACAAAAAATGATAGACATGTCGGCACTTTTTTTGCAGAGACTAGTTTTTGGTGTCTAATGCGTTGAGAAATAAAAGTTAAATATTCCCAAGACACATCTTAAATTGTAAGGCACACATAACGTGCTAGTTCTGTGCCTTGAGGAATTTGCCACACGCATTAGTTGAAGATAGTATTTCCATCACATAATTGAGCTTAAAGTTCATTTTTATTTTCACAATCTGACACTTCATTTACTATATTTAATACCTTTAAAGCTAGGAAATTCCAAAAACAGATGTTTGGAGGCCTTGTTCATGCTGTCCGTGTTACTTACCCTTACTGATGCTTGAAGGTTTCCATAGTCACTAACTGACTAACGAGCAATCTAACTTTGTTGTGGCTTCTTTGCAATTGTTTCTGCCTTTTTAAACTCCCACATTAGTTTATGGTTGAATTTTATTTTCCAACTTGTATTTGAGCGTGTGAATACTTCAACTGCAGTCCTGTCACCTCTCTCAAAGCTATTTTACATATAGTAACTGATTCAACATAGTGTTTATATGTGCTATGTGCATTGATAATCTTTTCTCAACTCTTATGATATTTTCTGTCGTTATATATTTCCTTTTTCAAAATTTTTTTTCTTGGCATTGTCTGCTTGAGTGCATTTTTTCATGTATACCATATAGAAATTTTCACACTAACATTGTTTTAGATCGTGGTAATATAACTGTGTGGCATTACCAGTGAATTTGTAATGGGAGTCGCTTATTGGAGTTGTGGATTTATTCTTTTTACTGGCAAATGCCTAGTAACTAACTGATACACATGCCTCAGCGGCAGTTTGCTATCCTTCAATAGTATTTATTCTTTTAACACCTACAAAGCAACCGGTCTTGAATTTTGTACTGGAGATTAATTAATTTTTTGTATGAAATAATTTCTGTTATTGATCATTACTTTCCATAACTCGATTGGTGAATAAATTGAAGATGCATAATCAAGTACGAGCTACAACTCTTTACTCTAGAAATGAGGTTTTCTAGTTTTTGACTGGGATATTGGTGAAAAAAATAAAATAAATGAGGTCTAGAAGTTCTCCTGTTATACTTGTCCAATTCACGTGCTGTACTGGGCAATAACGGATGTTTACTGGAATTGCCGACATGGGACTACAATGGTCCATAACGACCAATACAGCTGTGTTTCTTGATTTCGCTAATATCAGTCCATTACATTGTCGAAGGCCAGTGATAACTCTAATGTAATTTCAACGATTATTGTCATAAATTTTCAGTTTCAAAATAGGGGCCATCTCTTACATTTAGAGGTTGAAATGTCTCATGTTATCCCCACAGAAAAATTGATTGATATTCACAGTTTAATCAATCAATTTTTCCATTTTGCTATTTACTGACGATTTCAAGACATTGATATTTTGCTAACCACTAACCATATTATCAACTGGTTGACTCATAATACAGATGCAGGGTTCTCCAGCCACACCTGTGAATTCAAATTCTAGTTCAGCCCTCTCTGACCCATCCGCATCTTGGCTTTTATCAGAAGAAACTAATTCTGGGGCTGATCAGGTGTCTTATACTAGCGAGAAAGCAGAGTTAGGTGATGTCAATAGAACTATCCACACATACAGTCATATTACATCATCATTTTGAAAGAACTCATATCATTCCGCCAACTGATTTCAAAGGAATGATAACAAATCCATTATTCCCGCGGAATGGTTCCTGTTTTAACTTCTCAGTTCTCATGGAAATTGCTGCTGTTTATTGCGATAAACAGCAAACATATGAACTCATGGATTTATGAAATGTATATATTTTATTATAATCCTGCTCTTATCTGTGATTTAACAGAGCCTGGGGACAGTATGACCATCAAAAATCATGAAACGAGACTTCAAGAGATAAATACATTGGAATGGGAAGAGCTTTTGGGGCCAGATGATCCCAACAAATCTAATACACCCGGAGGAGGTGGTAAGTGAGATGCTCCTTACCAACGGGACAGTGGCCTAGCGGTATCAGCCTCTTACTTCCCAAAGGGAGGTCAGGGGTTCAAGTCTCAAAAGAGACAATGTGTGTGTGAGTACCAACTAGGGGAAAAAAAAAAGAAAGTAAGATGCTCCTCAGGAAAACCTTAACTTAAGTGAGATGCTCCTCAGGAAAACCTTAACTATTATTATTATTATTATTATTATTATTATTATTATTGTATCTTTATTTATATATCTATATCATTTATTACGGCAGGAAGAACTGCATGCTTTGGGCAACAGAATCAATATCATATAAATGGATGCAAAACTAATGTAAGTAGGTTTTTGTGTTTCTTCCCTTATTTTCCCTTTTTTCTCTTCTTATGTTTCTTGTCTCAATTTTATATACCTTTCCCTTTTTCCTGTGTTATTTTCTTGGTGGGACGATTTATTCTACCGAAACCTGTTATATGAACTTATTTGAATATTACTTATCATTTAATAATAATGATAAATAAATGAATGAATAAATAACTTTCGTGCAGGACATGTGAAGAACACTATCCTACTAACTAGTTTTGATACTCTGAATTGGTGTAGGCATTGGCAAAGAGGGGCTTTTGTCTGATTATTATAGTTTTTATTGTTAAAGGTTGCTCGGAATATTAAGCTAAGGTTTGCAGAAGGTATAAGAAAAGGGTAAATATAAGGTTTCATTTAGGCGGGGAAAGAGGAAGTTTAGGGGCTGTTTTGGGCCTGTGAACAGTACTCATGACAGTGACTTTGTGGAAAGGGTAAATATAAGGTTTCATTTAGGCGGGGAAAGAGGAAGTTTAGGGGCTGTTTTGGGCCTGTGAACAGTACTCATGACAGTGACTTTGTGGATTAGTGTGTTGGAATTAGTTGAGGGAACAAATTGTTTGGGCTTGAGGAATATGATTTCCAAGGATAAATCATAAAAGGGGATTGAAACAAATCATTCTCTATTCCCGTTGAGGCGTTGACATCTCACATAGGATTAGAGTTGCATACTTGCATCACACTATTTCAGAAGGAAAAAAATTCCTTAATTTGTTTTATAATAAGTTAAAAGCATTTTTTAGTAGTATATAGACGTCTAGAAATTCTTGACTAATAGGATTTGAACTTGCTATTTACAAACTTGATAGAGATCGATTCCATAACTTGACCTAAAATGTTAATTACTAGGCCCTTCTACAATCTATTTTCAACACATCTTAAAATTACCAAAATACCCATGACTTCATTAGTTTAATAAAACATAGAAAAGTAAACTAGAAGTGAGATAAATTAAATAAAATTCATAAAATTAAACTGAAAACAACCAGAAACTTGAATCTAAGAGGTCCAAGTGGGCCTTGTCTTGAAAACCAACCAATTTCCAAAAATTCCCTCCCTTGAATTCCCTTTTGATTGAATTTCTTATGCTATGGATCATCTCTCCCAAGAAAAAAGTTTGAAGACAATAGTGCTTTTTCCTGTTTCTTTGAAACATTGTGGGTGATTTTAACAAATCAGGTCTTCCAAGTGTATTGTTTGAAGTTTGAACACAAACTGCTCCCACATGCTTAGGCTCAAGATTCAAGTTTAAGATATATTTTGTTCCTTCGTTTATATAACTATACATTTTTTCTGTAAATTTGTTTCCTATTATTTAAGTTCAGGAATTAACATGCTACTGGAACAAACTTTTGTCTGCATGTACAACCCACATTTTATAGATTTTTAGGTGGCTTGGCTGCCATATCGTAGTATTGTTATTGTAATATTATAATAGCATTGATGCTAAACTTTGCCACTGTAATTGTTGCACCCCTGGATTTTTTAGTGAACTTAACCACTTCAGAATTGCTTCTTCTTTCAATTGCAACTGTAGTTTGACAATTATTTATCTTCCCAGGGAAACTTCCCGTCAACTTACCAGTTACCTATTGAAAATTCTTCTTTGGAGTATCTCATTGACCCAGTTCCCAGAAGTAATGGTGTAAATTTCAATATATCGGACAGTGATTGCTTTCAAAGGATGGCAGGTCAGATGAATTCAAATCTGCAGAGAAAGGATTCTGCACCTGTGACAGTAGGCCAGTGTGATTCCTTAGACATGCTGATCAAGGATGGTTTGCAAACTCAAGACAGTTTTGGCAGGTGGATGAACTACATCATTACTGATTCTGGAGAATCAGTAGACTATCCAATTCGAGAATCTTCAATTTCAACTGGTCACAAATCATTTACGTCTCCAATAATGGATTATCATCAGTCATCTGTTGAAGAGCAGATATTCAGTATTACTGCTGTCTATCCTGAATGGGCTTTTTCAACTGAAGAAACAAAGGTTCTTTTTCCCACAACCTCGTGTTCCTATTTAATCTGGTTATAGCTGTCACATTTTTTCATAATGGACTACGAAAAAGTAAGTTGTTAATTGACTTTCATGTTCTACTGTTCTTTGCAGAATCCTTTTATATTTCATTAGTTTTTGGAAGAAAAGCATGGATATTTTCTATTTATAAGACAAATGGGATAACAAATTTTCAACAATTATCAAGGAATTAAATTAAGGAAAATGCTAAAGATCACGAAAGGCATTTGGCGATTTTATCACAATTGACGTGGATTTTTTTATTTTTTTTTTCGGGAAAGAACTGGCCCAATAATTAAGTCAAATAATAAGAAAGTAATTATTTATTTTTGGGAAGAATTAATGGGAGAAAGAAAAAAAAAATGTATCCCCAAAAAACTAATCTTGCAAATTGTTGTGTTTTATCCATCGCTCAATCTAGGGTTAGTTGTGTGTCTTGTTCATCTCTCAATTTAGGGTTAGTTTTTATCTTTGCACATGAGTTATGGTAATACACACACACACACACACACAGATATATATAAAAGATGAATATTGGTGACGTTGCAATTTGAATGAAATCTAATTAGAAGGTTGGATGGATTAAAAATTCAAAACAAATTCATAATAAACTCTAAATTAGTTTTGATGTTAATTTTTTACAGAGTCTCTTACATGTTTACAGGATGAGTGTGTACTTTGTTATTCAATCTAAAATAGGGTTGAAAAGATATAGATAAAGTATCAAAAAATAGAACTCATATATATAATATACTTATGTGTGTGTCTATATATATAGCTAAAGAAAGAAATTAGGGGGTATATGAGAAAACAAAGTAATAAAAGGACTAAAAATGCATATTTGCTATAAATATGCAGTTTCATGATAATGTCATGAAATGTTTTCAGTGACATGTAGCACTGCTCTTAAATTAATGAGTCATACAATAAAACTACGAGAGAGAGAGAGAGAATACTAGGGTGTGAATCATGGCGCCCGATAACCAATTTGGTTAGGCTAGGGAGATCCATAATGGTGGCTATTTACTTATAGGACAGTTTGTTGAAACGTGTTGGAGAAGCATAAAGACCTCCACATGGTCTTTATAGACTTAGAAAAAGCATATAAGGGTTCTGAGATATAATTTGGTAGAAAAAGCATATAAGGGTTCTGAGATATAATTTGGCGAATTCTACAAAGAAAACAAATTCCTATATAAACGATAATGATTCTTCTGTACATAGTGCTATTGGATACTCTAAAAAAAGTTAGCAATAAAATCAGAAGTGGCGCATATTAGTAATAAGATGAGAGAAAATAGACTTAGGTGTTGTGGACATATTCAAAGAAGATCTAGATATGCTCCGGCTAGAAAAGGGAGACTAATTTGCATAAATGGTAGGAGGCAAAGATGGCGACCGGAGCTAACACCGGATGGAATCTTTAGAAATGATTTAAAAAAATTAAGTATTATAAGAGAGATGACTTGTAATAGAAAAGAATGGGAAAAGAGAATTCATGTGGCCCACTCCATTCAAGAGTTTGTTAAGTGTACCGAATTTTTTAAAAAGAAGTTAAAAAAAAGTTGGCTTGTTTTCTAGCAGTAAGATTGGTTCAGGATTGGATTTATTGAAGCAACCGAATCATCACATTGCTCGACCTTTAGAACAACCAATATGGTTTTGATATCCTTAGGATGGTTGCAACAGATTGAGTTCTCATATACCCGATCTAACCATTAAAAAGTGTGAGCATTTACATGTCTATGCAACTGTATGAATATTTTTTAATATAACATTGGCTGTCTTGTTATGTATTGCTCTCTGCTGACAGAGGAAATTTATTTGTTTATTTAATGTACATTAGAGTTTAAACCTAGGCCAAACAGTAACAAACTCAAATGTTTAAACTTTTAAAATGATTGTTACATGTGTTTGCGTTGCCATGTATACTGTTGAAACTTTTCAAGGTATAACGGTCTGGAAATTGTATGTAAGCCATTTCCCTGTTATTTTTTGGTATTTAGGAAGCATGGAGCTAGACTCTAACAAATCTTTTTCTGGCAATGAAATTTGGAAACCTCTTTCATCTCTCTCTCTCTCTCTCTCTCTCTCAGAATTCGTAGTAGTTTCAGGTGTTACAAAATGCCACTTTGAAGAGCCGCTAAGCAACTTTAATCACAATCTTTTTGGGGTCACCATGTGGGGGGCCACTGTTTGGTACAATTGATTAACAAGTGTGATTAGGTCTATTTCCTTTCCGTTCCTCGCAACACCCTGCCTAGGTGGGACCAACAATTTGCAATAAACTTTATTTAAAAATCCTATTTCTTAAGATGATTTCCTTACCAACAAAGGCTGGGATACAGCAAGTATGCAGAGTCTGTCATTAGCTGCTTTTATCTCTGGATCTTCAACTTGTCTATGGCTCATCCAATACCATATTTTACAAATTGGATACATCCAAGTTGATATTTATTATGTGTTGTTCAATAACAGTAATTATTTTTACTTTTTATTTGTGTTTGTGTTGTTGATGAAGCGGAAATAAGGGTTGCATTTGTCTGGAACGGTTGTCCTGGAATTAGTTTACACATTTTTGTTGGCAGGAATGTTGATCTTAATCATGGGTTGGACTGTTTTTCCATATATTTCTGGAATAATTAAACAGCGCTATTGTTGACTTTGTTGTTGCAGATTCTGGTGATTGGATATTTTCGTGAAGAGCATCCACCTCTTGTGATGTCCAATCTGTATTGTGTCTGCGGAAATGCACGTGTTCCTGCAGAAATGGTCCAACCTGGGGTGTTCCGCTGTTTGGTTTCACCACATGCTCCAGGATTAGTAAATTTTTATTTGAGTTCTGATGGCCAGAAACCCATAAGCCAAGTTCTGACCTTTGAGTATCGTGCTCCTCTAATGCATGACCGGATTGTTTGTTCAGATGATAAGTCTAAGTGGGAAGAGTTTGAAGTTCAGATGAGGCTTGCTCAATTACTCTTCTCTAGATCTAAGAGCCTTAATATCTTATCTAGTGAAGTATCACAAAATGCCCTGAAGCAAGCCAAAATATTTGCCCGCAAAACCGCCCACATTGCTGATAGTTGGGCTGATATGATAAAGTCAATTGGAAGTACTAAAAACTCATTTCCACAAGCAAAAGATAGCTTGTTTGAGCTCACTCTGAAGAGCAAATTACAGGAATGGCTGTTGGAAAGAATAGTTGAAGGGTCTAAAATCTCTGACCATGATGATCAAGGTCAAGGAGTAATCCATTTGTGTGCTATCCTAGGATATACGTGGGCTGTGAATCCATTTCTGTTGTCAGGCTTATCATTGGATTATCGGGACAAATTTGGATGGACAGCTCTTCATTGGGCTGCATATTATGGAAGGTATAGTTCTACTGCCATCGTATAGATTCTCAGAGGATCTGGTTCATCAATGGTTAGGTCGCTGAGTCCAATTCATGGAATTCTTAATTGAGAGTTTTTTCCAGTCTTTCCTTTCTCTTCCAACAAGTGTACCTTGTCTTTCTACCATATATATTTATTTCCAACTCTTTGTAGTTATTGATGTCATAGTTGTGTTTCTAACAATATATGCATAAACAGCCAATTTATGATGAGAGAAGACATGGTTTGGAGCAATTCCTGCATATTTTCAACTGTGCATTTTTTATTTGCATAACTGCTTTTAATCTACTATTCATTGCTTAGTTTTGGAAACCTCCATTTTCAGGGAGAAAATGGTTGCGACTCTTCTCTCTGCAGGAGCAAAACCAAACTTGGTCACGGACCCCACTTCAGCAAACCCTGGCGGATTCACTGCAGCTGATGTTGCTTCTAAGAAGGGTTATGATGGTTTAGCAGCTTATCTTGCAGAAAGGGGTCTAGTGGAACATTTCAAGGATATGAAAATAGCTGGAAATGTCAGTGGCTCACTCCAAACCAGCACTACCGATTCAGCCAACCATAATAACTACAGCGAAGAGGAGCTGTATCTGAAGGATACTCTGGCAGCTTATCGGACTGCAGCCGATGCAGCGGCACGTATACAGGCTGCATTCAGGGAGCACTCGCTTAAGCTACAGACACAGGCGGTTCAGTTATCAAATCCTGAGAATGAGGCACGCAATATAGTTGCAGCAATGAAAATTCAGAATGCCTTCCGCAACTACGATACACGAAAAAAGATTACAGCTGCTGCCCGAATTCAATATACATTCCGTACTTGGAAGATCCGGAAAGATTTTCTCAATATGCGTCGTCATGCCATCAAAATTCAGGTTTGCCCTCTTTGCTGTTCTCTTGCTTATCCAATTGATACTTTAAACTGAATTGCCACACACGGTCATATTTTTTAAGTATCCAATTGATACTTTAAAAATATGCCAACTATACTTACATTTCTGTCGACTTCATTGATTCTATAAAGACTATTCAATTGTATTTTTCCTCTGATGCAGGCTGTTTTCCGGGGCTTCCAAGTCCGGAGGCAGTATGGGAAGATTATTTGGTCAGTTGGTGTGCTTGAAAAAGCAATCTTACGCTGGCGTTTGAAGAGAAAAGGTTTCCGTGGGCTTAATGTTTGCCCTGTTGAAGCTGTCAAAGATCAGAAGCAAGAAAATGATGTGGAGGAGGACTTCTTCCGTGCCAGCAGGAAACAAGCTGAAGAGCGTGTTGAAAGGTCTGTTGTTCGGGTCCAAGCCATGTTTCGTTCCAAGAGAGCACAACAAGACTATCGGAGGATGAAGTTGGCCCATAATCAAGCCAGGGTAGGCGATTTTCTTTAAACTTGTTAGGTTACAGTTTGACTACGTGGATCACTTAACCAACCTAACTTAGTTTTGTGCAGATGGAGTATGAAGAGCTTCCTGATACTGACATGGGATAGGAGAATACTTGAGTTTTGCCACAGCTCTGGCAGTGCGTACTTAGGAATCTAAACAGCTACAATGACACCAGCGAGGGAATGTTTTTCCCAATGACAGGTTTGTGTTCTTGACTGCAATGAGAACATCATGTACATTCCTAGATTTTGTGCAGTCCTGTAGATTTGGCTCTCTTGTGTAGTCAGTTTCAATATTGAGTATTTCAGGTTCTTGTAGTCTTCTTGTGAAAATTCTTAGGTTAAAGTTCTTATCCTCCCTTTTGATGTTCTGGGTACATTCTCTTTGATGTTTTGGGTACATTATGAAGGTATGATTTGGATAAAATATTGTTTAGCAAAGATGTACGAGGCAATCTTTCTCTGTTTCATAAATTTGCAGGATCTTCTTTCCCCATTGTTGTGCTTCCATTTTATCTTAGGATTACTATGTTACAGGTAGCTAATTACTTATACTCTCTTCGGCAAAATATACGTAATCCTAATGTTTCATTAAGCTGTAATAATTCTACTACTCATTTTGTGCATATACATATAAAAGCTTTTAGATGACAGCATTTCTTCGTTGCAGTGCATGAGCTTGGCATCCTCTCCATGATACCACCAGTTTACTGAATTTCTCACCTTTTAAAGCAGCTGATGAGGGACCATTTCTTCCAACTCCCTCCTCCTCAGTGGTAAACTTACAATAGCCTTTTACTGCTTGCCCGAGATTTTCGTACTTTCAATGTTTTAGGGGCTTCCATTGAAAGATATCAGGCTGCAAATATTTCTCTAGTTGTTTTACAATGTTATTTCCTTTAATTTCTCTTTCGTTTGCCAGGGAAGCTGTTCCTGGCCCCAGTGACTGGGCATAGATCTTTGCAAAGGATTTTGACTGATAACAAAAAAGACTTGGATTTAAAAAATGATTCAACACCAAAAAATTAGGCGGAGCTTCATTGTTAGGTAGAGGTGCTGCTTTCTTTCCCTACATGTTCTTTTAGGTACCCAACGTGATTATGTGACGCTCCCTGGTCTGTTGAACTCATGAACAGTTGTACCATATGTATGAGTTGTCTGAAGGTGTTTGATGGCTAATGTATATTCCTTATACGAGTGTGACAGGGCCAACCTTTCCACCAAGGGGTTGTTTTGTTTGTCAACTTCCTTCGTGTGGGTTGAGCATTCAGCTAAACCTGAGATTGCTCTTCGTTTCTCTCCATGAACATGTTCCAATGTCCATATAACACTCTCCTTCAAAAGGCAACATGCGTGGTTTATTTGCAACCCACCTCTTCTTCAAGATTAGGAACCAAAAGTCCACCTAGGGAGACTTGAATTAGTGCATCTCCTTGGTCCAGTTACTTTTTCGACATATATACGGTTTTGACAAAATGTCATCCTGGGGGAGGGCATAACATCAATGGAAGCCTTTTCTTCTTAACTACTTGGAATGTAACTACACGAATCTTATGTTTTCATTCTGTTCATCCGAGAGGAGCGCGTTTAACTACTTGGAAACCTCGAATCATTAGCATTGACAAAGATAATGAAATGTACAGCCATCTATTTTGAAATCAAACTGGATGCTTTTGTCATGAAAAATGGTGCGTGGTTGAATATTCCGCCTAGCAGAGGAAAGCTTACCTCTGCTCAAGGACTGAAATGCTGTGCATTGCGATTTATCCGGCTGTGACATTCAATTATTCAAATGTGCACAAATCACCCCATCAGCCACTTATAAAAGAATATGGTTTTATACTTTAAATTTGACCACCTTGATCATTGTTTTACTGGTTTAATTTCCCCATCTGTGGCGATGAAATTTCAATAATAATTGCACTCGGGTGTAAGGTTTGCGGTGTAATAGAATCAAGTATCTATTGGCGTTACGAGGTTTGTGGTGTAATAGAATCGAGTCTCTATTAGCGTTACGAGGTTTGTGGTGTAATAGAATCGAGTCTCTATTTGCATTCTGTAACGGAATTGCTTATTATAGTTATAATTTTTTTTCGAACTTTAAGTCCAAAAATGCATTGATACGCAACTTTTAGTGAATTTTAATAATTGTTATTAAAATTTTTAAGACTTTTTAACACAATGAGTGACTTATTTATAAATTTCAAGTCGTTCTTATTAAAAAGGGTAAATTATTCTAACCTCCTCTAAGGTGTACTTTAATTATCTTCAGTTTAAAGTTTTGAATGTTTTTTTTTGGTAAATCTCTCCTAAAATATAGTTGACTTAACTATAACACCCTGCTATTAATTAGTAATTTTAAAATTCAAAAAATGTCCTTATACAAAACAAAATGATAAAATTAGAAATGAAATTTTGAACCATAAAGTTTCAAACCGAAATGCCCTTGATATTTTAACATTTAATTAATATAATATGTATTCCTAACAGAAATTATTAAATACTTTATTTTTATCAATCAAGCTTTTAAAAGTAAATTTTATGATCACATAATTTAATTTTTAAGTAAAAAATTTGAAAATATTAATTAAAAAACTTTGCAAAATAAATTAATATTTTATATCTAATAAAATATATTTAAATAAGTATATACAAATAAATTATGTGTAAATAAGTTTATATACTAAATTAATATTTTATACAGTAATAAAACTAAATTAATTTACAAACTTTACATATAATTTTTTTGCTCAAGGGCATTCTTATACTTTCATTACCAAAGTTAACCGTTTTAACTCTGAAAGGGGGTGTCGGTAATTTTACCAAAATTTTCATAGGTGTGTAATATAGCTAAATCTCGGGAAGGTCGGAGTAATTTATCCTATTAAAAAAATGCATGCTAAACCACATCTAACATGTGAGAATAGAAAATAAATTTTAAAAATATATATAACACTATTCAGACCTTTTATCCTAACACATTTAAATGTTTTTATAGCATTATTCCTTATTGTATAATACTATTATACCTTAACTACCTTTTCACTGTAGTATAATGAAATTTTTACCTTTTTTACTTCTTTAGAACTTTTTTTTCTTTCATGACAAATAAGATAAGGGTCTGTTTGACATGCGTTTTGTTTTAGGCGTTTTATTTTTGACTAAAACATAAACAAATTTTTGTTGTATGAGTGCTTTGGGAAAAAAAATCGGAAGCACGTTTGGGAACAATTTTTGTTGTGGAAATGTTTGAAATATAAACATGCAAAATATGGTTTTGTATCATTAACAGTTGTTAAAACAAGAAAAAATATTTTTTTTGTCTTTTTGTTTTGGGCTACTGTTCATGAAGTGTTTTAGCATTATGTAAAATAGAATAAGGCCGCACCAAATATGTTTTTGTTATCAAAATCGACACTGTAACAATAACAACCCAAAAAAGGTAGGCTTAAGATTCAAATACATTTCAAATTAATTCTTAAATAGGAATATCATTAAAGAAAAAAAAAAAAAAAAAAACAAAACAAACTTTCAAACTTGGAGAGAGACTTTTTAGAAGGCTCTAAGCTTAAGAGCAACCCCAACACAAGCAAACTTTGTACGATATTTATAACTGTGGAGAAGCAAAGTGCTTGGTGTGCAGATTACACAATTGCGGGGCCCATTACATATTGTACACTTTGACACTACACTTCTGGAGACTTCTAAAGTTTTGTACGTAAATAATAATATGATATGTAAAAATGATATTGTGTGATGGTATGTAAAATAATTATTATATGTCATTTTTTTAAAGTTTAGTGTATGTTTTTCTATGTGTATTGTATTAAATAATTAATGTAATAGAGTCATAATTTAATTAATTAAAAAAGACTCATTTTTTCTAAATAAATAAAAAGAGTCATTTAATTTGTATAAGAATTTAATTATTTAATATATATATATATTTAAAAAAATGTACTTTTTGACTTATCAATTTTATTTATTTATTTATTACATAATAATTTAATTAATTTGCATAATAATATAAAAAATAACATTTTATTCAATTAATAAATTTAAACATCTTCATCACATAACAATTTAATTAATTTGCATAATAATACAAAAATTACATTTTATTCGATTATACAAAATATAAACATCTTTATCACCAAATTAATTCCACAAATGTTCCATCAGATGTCTCCTGATATCAGCATTATTTGCTCTATTGCGAATTCTTCTAAAGCGGAAATGTGTGCTGCCAACATTGTTGGGTTTCGAATGTATTGTGGGAGGGATATTAGCTCGTTCGACGGAGGTGTACATCACAAAATATGTCCGCGCTCATCTTCAATGATCATATTATGCAATATGATGCACGTTCTCATTATCCTGTAGCCCACCTGATCTGCAACACGCTAAATGCTCGTTTCAACATCTTTCTAACGGTTTCTTGTTTTTTAGCAAATAATTTTTCAGTTGTTAAGTGTGAGACACCATTTTTAATGGCTATTAATTGACATGTTTTGTACGGTATCATGAGTATTGTTAAATAATAAAAAAAAGTAATAAAAATGATACTGAAGTAAATTTTATCAAAAATTTTGTTGTTGAGTGTGGGACACCATTTTATAATGGCTATTAATTGACATGTTTTGTACGGTATCACGAGTATTGTTAAATAATAAAAAAAGTAATAAAAATGATATTGAAGTAAATTTTATCAAAAATTTTGGTAGAATTCTAAGAGTTTTTTTTTTCCCCCTTAGGTAAGTGGAATTCATGATTGATAAATTGCATCAATCATGTCCTGTGTTTGATTTTATATCTATGATATAATAATATATGTTTAAAATTCATATGATACTAGTTTTCTTTATTGTGTAATTGGAGTGATATTAGATTTAGTTGATGAATTTGCACTTTTATTTAATCGCTAAGGAAATTTAACTAGTTTTGTATTGTATTCTTTTGAATTGTTTCAACAGTACGATTTATTAACAGAAAGCATATGCAAAAAAGAAAAAAGTAAATAAATAATAAAAATTTTTAAATGAAATTAGCGGCAATTTATTTGGTGGATTGAATGTGTCTATTAAAAGATCTGACATCACCATGGTCAGAAAAGGAAAAAAAATAGTAGAATTACAAGCTGATTATCGTTTTTGCTATTAAATAATAATAAAAAACATTAACCACCTTAATTACATTTTGATTTAAATAAGAAAATTGATATTCAGGTTGTGCCATAAATAGATTGGGTTAAAGAGATTATTCCGTCCGATTCAGGGTTGGGCTGCCATTGTCTATCATCAGCCCAATGTGATCACAGTGCAGAGCCATCCAAATTTCTCATTGATCAAACATGACCGATCGGGTCCGGCCAAGCCCAAGTCCAAGACCAAGCCCAAGACCAAGCCCAACCAGAAGCCCAAGCCTTTTCAGTCAAGGCGGTCCGGAGGCACATAAGGGCACATTCGTCACTACGATCAAAACTCAAAAAGCAGCTAGAATTAGGGTTTCGCAGTCACATAAGTATCAAGTATCCAAAATCTCCTCGTTTCGTTTCGCCGTGAGAAACCTAACACTGAACAGATCAGTCCGCTCGATTTCTCTGTATGCTCTCTTTCTCTCTCTATATATGTATATATGGTATCAGGAACCTCAATTGTATTTATTGATTGCATTTTTATGTTTTTGGTTAATTGTTGATGTATTGTTTCGTTGTGAAGAAATGGCGAAGTCGAAGAATCACACGGCTCACAATCAGTCCTACAAGGCCCACAAGAACGGCATCAAGAAGCCAAAGAAGCAACGCCACACTTCCACCAAAGGGGTACTTCATTTTCGCCCTTATTAGTTATAGTCACATCTATATATATATATATATATATATATTTTTTTTTTGAATGTGTGTGTTTTTGTGTATATTTACTGGTTTTGTTATGAAATTCTTGTGCAGATGGATCCGAAGTTTCTGAGGAACCAGAGGTACGCAAGGAAGCACAACAACAAGAGTGGCGAATCAGCTACCGAGGAAGAGTAGACACTTATGGAATGGCACTTATGCTAGGTTTTCTAGCTAGGGTTTTCCATTTTTGTTATTTCTTCAGCGTTGGATTATATTGAGACAACTTTATGCTAGTTTTTTGATTCAGTATGAAACTATTTTTATTTTATTGTTGTGAATTGCAATTTACTTCCTATAATATGTGCTAAAACCATTAATCATTTTCTAAATTGTTATTTCTATGTCTAGAAGATCTTAGATTCTACTTTCTTATGCTTGCTTAGAATGAGGATTTGGATTTTGAAATGAGGTTTATTAAGATATTGTTTGAACTCTTTGAATTTGAAGCCTATATTTGATTTGGTGACCATGGTGCCTGGCACATTATAAACTCCTTGATCCAATGCTGTTCTATTGTTTCTTGTATACATAGTTTATACTTCCAATAACTGGGTTGGTGCTGTTGGTCTTCCCTTGTCGTGATTGTCCTGTAGTTCTAATAATAATGGACAACAATTTCCCATATTCCCTCTCAAACAAAATGTAGTGTCCTCTGTTCAGAGGATGATTTTCTTTGGTTTTAAAATAATTTAATTCATCTTGCCGTGTACATGAGTTAATAATTGGGTGGGTGCTATAACTGCTGTTGGTCTTCCCTTGTCTTGTCGTTATAGTCCTACAGTTCTAATAATAATGGAAAAAAAAATTCCCACATTCCCTCTCAAACAAAAGGTAGTGTCCTCTGTTCAGAGGATGATTTGGTGACCATGGTGAGAAAACCTGGCACATTATAAACTTCTTGATCAAATGTTGTTCTATTGTTTCTTGTATACATCCTCATTCGAGATTTGAGAGATATAGTATATACTTCCAATAACTGGGTTGGTGCTGTTGGTCTTCTTCCCTTGTTGTGATAATCCTGTAGTTCTAATAATAATGGACAACAATTTCCCACATTCCCTCTCAAACAAAAGGTGGTGTCCTCTGTTCAGAGGATGATTTTCTTTGGTTTTAAAATAATTTCATTCATCTTGCCGTGTACTTGAGTTAATAATTGGGTGGGTGCTGCTATTGGTCTTCCCTTGTCGTGATAGTCCTATAGTTTTAATAATAATGGACAAAAAAATTCCCACATTCCCTCTCAAAAAGAAGATAGTGTCCAGAGGATGATTTTCTTTGGTTTTAAAACAATTTCATTCATCTTGCCGTGCACTCGAGTTGGGGATGGTTATTGTTTTGTGTTAATTAGTTCATGTTCACGGATTTCTCCTGCTGTTGAGACTTGGGAGTGAGATCACCAACCCTTGCATGTCCTATCCAGAATTTTGACTAGAATACAGCTTTTAAGTTGAGCAAGAAGCCATTTGACTTGCCTGATTTTTAGGATCAGACCATTCCGAACCGCCAAAAACCGTCCCGAGTGCAGGAAGGATCATACTCAAAATTAGCCTATTGCATGGAATGTAGCAGCCTGCCAGGACGTTAACTTCCAGGCTTCCAGCATTGTTGTTCACATTTTGACAAGTCCTCCCGGTGACCCCTCCCTGGAGCTTATTGTGCTGTATTTGGTCCTCTTTTTTTTCCCTATACTACTAGTTAAAGCCAGTCTGTTATGTTTTAGTTTATCTGGAGCCCATTCACAGTGATTCACTGGCCTAATTTACCTGGTTGCAACATCCATTCATTTACTGGCCTGGTTGAGAACTCCAACACTAACACCAACATGCTAGTATAAATTGTCTTGCGCCTATAATTGTGCTCAACCTTAAAAGACTTGCTGTTCCTACATTCTTGGTGTTTACTATATGCTTGTGATTTGAAAGATACAATGTCTTTTGGTTTTCTTTGATTTAGAATTGGAAGAAATTAAATAAAATTTTAGAGTAATTCTTCTCCAATTTCAAATCTGAATTCACTGATTTGGTGTTTCAAAACACAACATTATTGTTCCTGCGTTATTGGTGTATCCGATGTGTTTGTTTATTTATTGCTCTCCAATTGAATGGTTCACTAGGAAAAAGATACCAGCACACAACAGCTGTCAACTTGTTATAAGAAGACATGGACTGACAAATCATCTCCATCAATAACGAGAAAAGCAATTTAATGAACATGCATATGGTTAATACCCAATAAGCCAAGTCAATACTAGAGGTTTTTCAAATCGTAGTTTAGGAACTGTTTTTTTTAAAAAAAATAAAAAAATAGATTGGGATATATTCTTCTTTTTTGTATGAGGAAGAGTCTTGATGTATTTCAAATCCAAACTATGAGATTCATTCATATAAGATTCTGTTTCGAAAAACATACATACCAAAACAATCAAAAGTTTGTTTACACCTTTATGTTTTGAATAACTGACAAAGGCGAAGAAATTATACATATCTTCTGCCTTTTAAAGTGAGGGCTTAGGATTCAAGTCTCATAAAAATACATAGTTTAATATTTTTTAGGCTACTGTATGGAATGGAATTGAAGTTTTGGAGTTAGAATTGGTGATATTAAAGAAAGTTTGGTTCAAAGTTATGAAAAATTGAATCAAACTTTTTAAAATTTTTTTGATTTCAATTTCAAATTTTCAATTCCATGCACCACAAGTTTACTTTGAGAAAATCCAAAAAACAAAAATAAAAAATGTTGTATAAAAATTTATTTGACTATCAGTTTTCTTAGAACTAAACCTAAATTTCTCGAAGACAATAAATAAATAAATAAATTGTTTTCAATTTTTTTTATAAATTATTTCCCAAGTGTATGTTTACAAATAATTAATTAATATTATCAATTAATTGAACTAAAAAGACGAATAAAAATTATTATCAATTAATTGAACTAAAAAGGTACTATTATACAAAATATATATATATATATATATATATATATATATATATATATATATATATATATATAATGCAGTGAAGCAGGATTTGAAGAATGGGACTTGCGAACTACTTAAACCGCTCTACCATGTGTTTTGAGAATTAATAGACAAATAATGATTGAATACACTCTCTAATGCAAATAGAATAGCTCATATTAATTGAAAGATAAATCATCAACTTTGCAATCAATTGTTAGAACGATAGATTTTACGTTCATTTGAAAATTTTGAAACCTTTTTTATTGAATGAAAAAAATAATTTGTTTTTACAAGGAATTAAGGAATAACGGGCAACTTCGAGTTGATTCAAGAAAATAGAGAAAATTATTTATATATTTTTTAATTAATTTTTAATATATTTTTTTTATAAAACAAGGTAATATGCGGATTAATCTAACCTTTCTTCTTTTTTAACATTTGCCAAATTGGAGAAAAGTACACAAAAAAATATGAATGCATTTGGTACATAAAGTAAGAATAATGCAATATTGATTACTACAGAGTATTTTTGAAAGGATTTTTAAATGGCAGAAGAAACGAATACTAGGAACATAAAATGGTTGACTTGTACATGGGACCTACCAAAGGAAAGGTTCACTAACTCGCATATGATTGGTTGCGAGGTGAAACCAAGGATGTCTCGTGCGCAGACAACTAGGTCAGTGACACTTTCGTAATTCTACGTAAAAGTAAAGGGCATCACAGAGATTCCAGTATCCAGAGCATGTACTCCTATTACATTCGTTTTCAAAGGTCGGGCACAGACACTTCAGAGAGACGAATAAAAAAGTCGGGAGAGAGAGAGAAAGAGACCACGAAGGTTCACTGCTCGTCAATGGCAGTTAGGGTTTTTTCAATTGATCCCCGAACGTGATTCTCCTTTCTTGTCCCACCTTTATTTATCATTTTTCCTCAAAACCCTAATATTTTATATCCTCTAATCGACCTCCACAATTCAATCTCTTAATACTTTTCACTCTCAATCTCAATTAATAAAGAGTGAAGCTGTGATGGGTGCGCAAGAAAAACCACCCACTGCGAACAATTCGCTGCAGGTCAGTTGTTTTACTGCAACTCGCAGCTTTTTTTTTTTTTTGCCCTAGAATTAATTATTGCTTTCCTTTTTTGAAGTCCGAGCTTAGTGTTTTTCAGATTGTCTCCCTTAATTGGGCGGAATTAAATTATGTGGTTTAATTGCTGTTTAATTCACCTCCTGTTAAAGTTGTAATTTTTGGTTCGATTGTATTCTAGGGTTAGACATAACGCTGGTTTGAGCTGACAAATCATTAGTTTTATTTTTTTCAACAAGTTTTATGTATTGGCTTGACTGTTTAAATCTTATATAGTTGCTTATAGTTGCACCGCTTATTGCCTTTGTTGGACCATGAATTTGGTGTTTTTATTGGAGTTGAATGTAACAAGAATTTGTAAATTTGTTTCTTTCATTGAGAAATAGTTCTTCGTTGGAAAAAGTTTTACTTCAATGTCATAATTGTGTGTGTGACCCACAAGGGTTGAAAAATCTGTATTTCCTTGTCATGGCAACTCAGTCTTGCAACTGAACTCCCTAATGGATAAGATATGGCAATGGCTAAGAACTTCTTTTTTTCGTTGTGTTTACGTCAATTGTATGATAAAATAGCTCAAATCATTGTTGTAAGTTGGTTGATTCAAGCCATGTAAATGCTCATTTGTGTTTGACTTAGTTTAGGAAAAGCTTGTCGGACTTGAGGCAAGCTTAATCACCCATGCATGGCTTCAATGTAGTTGGGATTTATGTTTTTTTTTTTTTTTTTTTTTTTTTTGTGTGTGTGTGGAGAAGGATTAGATTGGATCCATAACTACAGTTTTGTTTTGGTTCTTGTTTTCCATTTTAATTAGTAGCACATAGATACAAGAGTTTGGAAGATGTCTCTTCATATTTTGTTTGTGTGCAAGTTGGTCAAGCTTCTTTTCTACAAATGTCTTCTATAAAGGGTCTTCATGTCAACAAAGACTTTATTTGATTGTCGTCATGATTGTTTTAGGATCTATATTCCATGTTATCTATTCTCTTACCCTTTTCTTTTGGGAATTCTTTCAAGTCACAACCATTTAAGTTGTTAACTTATTGCTCACTGTTTTTCTGACAGAGTATATACATACAGACATATACATATATTCTTTGAATGGTTAATCTTTTTCAAAGTACAATGATGTGAAGGTACATGATTAGTAATTTTTTTTTTCAAAGACAGCACCACCCGTTGATTTTGTGGGTGAAATGTGTATTTTAATTTGTTACCACTTCTTATGGAAAAACTCACGCCTATTGGAATATCATATATTCATGGTTTATAATGTACAATAATTGTGCGGCAATCTTCCCAGCATCATTGCTCTCCCGTTCTTTTCAGGCAGTGGTTATAAACTACTTGTATTTTACATATCGAAGACTGTTGCTAATTTGACATCTTTCGATCACCTGTTCTTGGAACTTGTTTTTATACTTGTTAGAGTTCAGCCTTATTTTCCTCAAAATTGTACTAAAAACTGCAATAATGTCATACATTCCTAAAAAGAAGAAATATAGCTGAGATTAGCATCGCCATTTTTCTTCTGTAGTTATCATGCATGCATACTTTCAAACATAAATAGATATAATAATGTGCAACTAGAAAATTTGAAAAGAACAAACACATTGTTCAGTGAGTTGATTTGAGGGTTATATTTCATTTGAGACCCTTAAAAAACACGACACTTGTGTTTGTGCTTAGAGTACTGCTTTCATGCGAGAACTGAGTTGTTTTTTTTTTTTTTTTCACTGCTTTTCATCTCAGTTTTTTCTCTCACATGACATGCTAACTTATCTTAGTTTCTCTATGATTTAATTAAAAATGTGTATGGGGTACATGAGCACTCATAGTTTCTCTATGATTTAATTAAATATGTGTATGGGGGTAGATAAGCACTCAGTAAAAATTCTTAAGTGGCTTTGGCTGAATTTACATATTCTCCCGAGGTATGTGAATTAAAGGGCAGAAAGAACTAGCTTAATGACATAGAAGATTATGTTAGGATAATAGGAAAACATCCTGCACCAAAACAAAGAAGTTAGTTGTGCTTAATGTACTATGTAGGGATAATTGCACATATCTATAGTTGTTAGTACATAAATATCCTAGAATACATGTAATTAGTTACAACTAAGGATGCAAGTGAACCAAGCCAAGCAGAGTTTTGAGATGCTCAGGCTCAGCTCGCCAAATTTAAAGGCATGTTATTTATCAAAAAAAAAAAAAAAAAAATTTAAAGGCATGTTCAAGTTTGGCTTGGGTTAGAACAAGCTTAGGGTAGCCAAGCTCGAATTGTTTTGTTCAGCCAAGCTTGGACTCAGCTTGTGCTTGAGCTTGTTTGCACAGTGTTTCTTTCATTTTGTAATTTTGTACATAGACCATGAGATTTACATAAAGTGTACTTGTAATTATTAACATCTAGGGATTCAAATGAGCAGAGCCCAACTGAGGTTGGAGTTGTTTAGGCCTGGTTCGCCAAACTAAGGCATTTTGAGGCTTGGGTTGTGGTCGGATGAGCTCGGTCTAGCCGATTGAGCTTGCCCAAGCATTTTTTTTTTCCCTAGTTGGTACTCCTTCCCTCTCTCAGGAATTGGAGCTTGCCCAAGCATTGTTTAGCTAAGCTTGGTCTTGTTTGCACATCCTTTTGGTATACGACAGATCTACCCCCACACCAAAAAAAAAAAAAATCTAAAAATTAGAGATCTACATAGCGGTGATGAGAGAGGAGGATGAGCATTACATGTGAATTAGTCAGCAGCGTCGGTGGTTGTGCAACACATTCTATGGTGGTGATGCCGTGATGGTGTTGTGATGTAGAGCGGGAGGGGAGAAGGAGAGAGTGGGAAGAGACGAATTGGGGGTGGAGAAGTTTGTAATCAACAACTCAAGATTATTCCGTAATCATCCAAGATGTTAAATCCAATACATATGTCCATGTATATGTAGGCAATCCAATGAAAGCTGAAGTTCAATATAATAGCTACAATATCTGATATAAGCACATAGAAGTCAGAATTGGCTGCCATGAATCCTAGTGGAACATGTAGCCATTTGGGGCTGGAAGACAACTTATCCTTTGCGTTGACGTCAATATTATGTACGTATAGGGGCTCATGGGAGTCAGTATGATATCCATCAATTCTCCCTTGCTAAAAAAGAACTCTCCTTTGGAGAGTAAAGGTCGTGGTACTGTTCCAAGAGGTTGGGAATTCATCCTTAGCAATCAACACGTCATTTGTATCCAGACGACCTCTCCAACGAACAAGATACCGCTGATGACCACTGACAAGAAGCAATAATCTGATGGTCAAGTATATGTGCACTCTGATCTGTGCTCCATGGGATCACGACTGAATCGACGGAAGAATTGGCACCGGTGTGGATGAAGATGTAACTCCACCATATAAGTCATAGAGTATAGAATGGATCAAAGATTATCTTAGCTTTCACAATGATGTTTCTCATAGTGAAAATATTCAGCACTATCTTGTTCAATGGAAAGGTTATTCGGATTTTAATATCACATGGAGTATTGCCTTTATGACAGACTTTTTGGAGCCGTACTGCCAACTTTACTCTGCGAAGGAGAGTGCTTCTTAACTAGGGAGATTGATGAAGATCAAAATCTCTCATATGCATGAGCCGCACATGAATCTAACCCATGCTTGGAGGAGGGGCAACGACGGATAGATTTTAGAATGTTCCTATATATTGTAGGAATTATAATAAATATGAGTTAGTTTTGCAGTATATTCTTTAATTAGTATTAGGGTTAGGTTTGCCTATCAATAAGGTATTATGTCTTGCATCTTTGTTGTACTGAACATGGCTATTTTCCGGCACCGAACATAGATACAACTACATGTTTAAGTAGTACTTGGCAGCCTTTTTTGACTTCTATGTAATTGTACCAGTTATATTGGACTTTAGGTTTCTTTTGGATTGCCTATATATGCATGAGTATATGTATTGGATTGATCACCTTTGATGAATATTGACTATTGTTTGTTGAATTACGGACTACTTCTCCCCCAATTCTTCCACTCTCTCCTCTTCTCGCTCTCCTTCTCTCTTTTGGCTCTACATCAGTTTTGCACTCACTACCCATCCTACATCAAGTGGTATAGGAGCACACTACCCATCCTGCATCATGTTGCCATGACAATGGTAATGAATGGCTTTATGCTTAGATTTGTAGGTGGTGCATACAACAATGAGGGTTATGATTGGTTGTAGTTGCTAGTGATGGTGCTTCAATTCATTTTGACAACTGTGAGTTGTGCTTTCTGGCAAAGATCCTTGGTATTATACTATTTTTGCAAATGAGAGCAAGACATGAGAGAGAGAGAGAGAGAGATGCTAAAGCATGTTTGAAATTTGATTACGAGGAAGAGAGAGGAAGTGAAAAGCAAATGATGAAACTTGTCACTGGTTGCAATTAGGACTGCAAATGAATCTAGCAATTCATGGTTGACTCTCAAGCATGATCGTTACTGAAGCAAAAAGATCAAGCAATTTGAAGCTTATTTACTAAACTTCAATCCCGAGGAAGACCAAACTTGGTTTATTTAACAAGACATTACAATTTTGTCCAACTAAACACGCCAATGTAACTTTGACCAACCAAACGCACCCGTTGCACACAAAGTATTTTGCCAAAATTCTACTACTTTTCCTCATATTGTGGTGGTTCTTTTATAAACTTTGATTTTGGCAACTTATGGGATTTTTTTTTATATTTTTTTTGGGAAGTTCAAGCAATTCACTCATCATGCACCCTGCCTCCAGGGAGGCTCGAACCCCTGACCTCCCTTTGGGAAGTAGGGGCTTGGTACCGCTAGGCCACTGGCCCGTTGGTAACTTATGGGATTCAAGTTAATGGAAAAAATGTTAAAGGATTATGGTATAAATGTATTTTAAAGATTTACTGGAGTTTGTTGAAGAAATATTATACATTTTCCTGGCTTGTTGATGTAATGTTAAATGTTCTACTCATGGTTTTGGAAAAAGGTTTATGTTTGTCGTACAACAATTTCATTTGTCTTCTCCTTTCCTCTCTTTATCAATTCTGCCTCTCCTTATATTAATCTGTTCTCCTCTCTCTCTTGTTGTTCACCCACAAAAAAAAGGCACACATTTTCAAGACTTTGTTAACATTACGACGACATATTTAAACCCTGATTTTAAATCAGCTGGTTTTCTGGCTTGGATTCTTGACCCTTGTGATACCTGAGGTCACTTAGGATGCCCCTGATAGGCTGATACCAACCGAGCTGCAGCTCCTTGTCAACTTGCTGGTGTCCTGCAACCCAGGGCAGTAGCAGTTACATGTTATATGCGTTTCAATGATTGTAAGAATCACATTAACTTTGTACTTGTTCAGTCAGCCTGTTTAAGAAGATCGTTTGACTTTCTTCCAGTCTAAAGTATAAATGATGAGTATATGATCTTTGTGCTCCTTGCTTGGTGAATTTGGTTTCTCTCTCCTTTGTTTGGTCTTTTAATGCTAACTGAAAACTTACTAGAATCACATATACTTGCCTGCTAAATTTCTGACTCCATTGTTCTTCAATTCTGAACAACAATGCTATAATGGATTCATGCCTGGTAAAAGTGCTCACTTCACCCTTGTTTAAATTAAATTTCAGCGGGTTAAGGTCTATCGTCTGAATGATGATGGAAAATGGGATGACCAAGGAACTGGGCATGTCATCATTGATTATTTGGAGGTGCTGCAATTTTTTGACCTGGCTTTACATTTTTCTGATGCCAGTATATTTATGTTTTTAAATTATATATATATATATATATATATATATATATATATATATATTTTTACCTTGGCAAGAAACACACTCACGCACCCACTTGCCCCTATGGGGACTTGAACCCTCGATCTTCTACTTTGAAAGACAAGGAAGTACCACTAGGCTACAGCCTTTGGTGGTTAAATTTCATTTCATAAATATTAATACTTGAAAGTTGAATGGTATTCTGATTAAATTTGCAAATTTTATAACACAGAGATCAGAAGAACTGGGTTTGTTTGTCACTGATGAAGAAGATAATGAAACTTTACTTTTGCACCGTATCACCTCAGACGATATTTATCGAAAGCAAGAAGGTATCGTTTTGTTTCTCTAATTGCATTCTGTAATCTTTTTTACCCGAGTTTATTCTCCAACATGTATTTCTCATGTGTTTTCAGATACAATTATTTCTTGGAGAGATCCAGAGTATTCAACTGACTTAGCTCTTAGCTTTCAAGAGACTACAGGGTGCTCCTACATATGGTACCTATTGAATATGTTCTCATTTTATTTCCTTCTATTAAATTATAATTTCATTCTGTTTGGGATTGTTGCAATAGTTCCTAATGTTATGCTTGTTTTATTTAGGGATCACATTTGTAATGTGCAAAGAAATCTGCATTTTAACACACTTAACAGTAAGTGTTTGCTACTATTTCTTATTCTGTTTTAGAAAGCTATTTCAACGTGATGAGACATTGATTGTTTCTGTGGCAATTCAGGTCAACACAATTTGACTTTTCGGCCTATCTCCCTTTCCCCTGATTACCTATGAACATTGATATAACTGTTACTGTTTAGAACTTTTGCTTCCGTACCAACTTAATGTAGGACAAGTGTACCGAAACATTCTCCTAAAGTCCTGACATGAAATTTGATGTCAAACAGCAATAAAGAGCACTTATGTGGTTGATTTATTTCCCTTTTTTCTGTGCGCAAAGGTTAATGAAGATATCTGTTTTTAGTTAAGGACTAGGTGCTTGGGGGCTTTAATTAGGTAAGGAATGTCAGGATTTCATGTCAATTTTTTGCCATGACTAGTTCCCGTGGATATTAACTTTTGGCTGGTTTCATAGTGTTGCATTCTTTTATATTTTAAAGTAAGAAAGGTGTTGGACTTGTCAAATATGCTTTTTTAGGGTATGAATAAATGCTAGCAAACTGATCTATAAAAAAAGCAAAGGCTAATAACTCAATGCAACGTAAAATTTGATCATGTGAAACTCGAAGTGGGATGTGTCTTGAAAATTAACCAATCACTTATGGATTGCATCACCTGTAAAAATTTTGCCTTTAACTTTATTATATTTTAACTAACTCTTTTCAGAAAGCCAGAATTATGGCTATGAAATGGATAGTTGATCTTTCTTTCTGTCACTTTTGCAGATGAGGTCTACCATAGTGTCAATAGTGGTTTGAGAGATTTGCCTGCAGTTGAGCTATCTACACTTCCTTTAATACTGAAGGTTCAAACTGATTCTTCTGTTTTATTTTTTAACGTAATCTTAGTTTCATTTTCTTCTTTAAGTGTTTTTTTTTTTTTGTTATTTATTTCTCAATCCTTTCTGCCCATGAGCATAATGGTGCTGATTAAAATATTTATGGATTTAGCTTCTTCTTGTTGCACTGGTTGCTGACGTTAACTGCTTTTAGTGGTTGTATATCTAACTATTGACCTCTATTTGGTAATTTATCAACAAAATTATTGACAAAGATCCTTCCTCCGCCTTTCCACCTTGCTTTTCTTTTTCTCTCTCCTTCCAAATTTCTCCTCTTCGGGTGTCTTATGTTTTCTTTGAGATGTGAATTTTACTTTGCACAAAGCTGATTGCCACCTTTCAGCCTGCCTCTATCACTTGCCTGTTTCTGATTATAATTCTTTGGGTGTATCATTGTAGAGGATGGTTGACATTTATATAAGGAAAATATTTATGATCTAATTTCATTTATTATTAAAGACTTGAAATAAACTTTTATTCTTCTTATTCTCGTTTGGTTGTGCTTATCATGGTCCAGTCTTGTTTTAATGGCATTATTTTTTTCCCTCGTCCTTGTTTGTCCACGGTCTCTGCTTATGTTGAGGGTATCTTACAGCTGACTGTTGCACTTGGATAGCTTTTCGTTGTTGAATCTTTCTTGCACACCGCTGTTAATAAATTCCAGTGTTTGTACTCCAAAATAGTGTATAATCTCCTAGGACTTGATAATTATTTTCCTACTAGTTTACTTGATTACATTGATGTTACTGCCTTTAATGATGTTAACTTGAGAAACTCTTTGCCTTTGCTTCCCATGAATCTAACAGTAGTGGTCTTTATATCATACTGCAGTTTAAAAGAATGTTTTGCGATTACATGTGACTAAGTCGTAGTTTTTCTAAATAATATGATATTGGTACTTCCATGGCGATGATATGCTTGTTTTCCTTCTTCTGTGTTTTCTTTCTTTTTTCTTTTATTGGTAAAAGATTCATTATTGCGAGCAGAACTGATGTTCATGCAAGTATTTAAGGGGAAACAGAAGTCAGCCCCCATCTTAAAAACAAAAAGAAAACCACAGGGAGAATCTGGATATGTATATAAAGGAAAGTGCAAATTTCCATAGCAACGAAAGAAAGTAATGAAGTTAGCAAGAAGTTCTTATATTTGATTACAAGGGCGCACATGAAACATTTGTGTTTCTGCCTTTTAAGCTCACATATACACCTGTATATACATGATATTTTATAATTGATTCATTTGATTACCATATGACTTGCAGACTGTGGTTGAGAGTGGCATTGCTGATCAGATGCGTGTGACAGAACTCATATTACACTACGTAAGCTTCTTACTTTCTTTTTTACTTCATGAAGTTTAGAATTTTTTGCATCTTAAAGACAATGTTATTCCCGCAACATATTTTAGTAGTCCAGCATCTCTAAGATATTATTTTGTTAGAGATGGTATTAGGTAGTCCCTATGTCCAGCTAACTATTTTTTCCCCCTAACTATGCAGACTAATAAATCTGAGTTCCATTAGTAGAAATTTCCATGATAAGAATTTGATATTCCCTGATTCAGACACATAATGAGCATTGTGGGCAAAAGGCTTGAAGAGCCTATGCAAGTGTCATACTCTGTGAGACTGTTGACATTTTTTATTTCTTCTAAACTAATAGCAAATTAAGTTTCATTTTCTCTTCAATAATTATGTAGATTTTACAGGAGGCTCCCTAATAAGAAACTAGTAAAGTAGTAGCTGATGTTTAGCTAGTGACTGTAATTGGAGTAGTCTTTGTTTCCCTATATATCTTGAGTTCAAATGTGCTATAGCTTCGTTAATATATAATATGGAAGTGATTTGTGTACATTTTGATGTGCAATAACTTTCTTTCTAAAAAAGGTACTTAGGTTGATTGTTTTGATGGAAAGAAACCTCCCTTGTTTATAATTTTTCTTTTTCCTCTTTATTTCTATTTCTTCATTCCGTTTAACTTTTTGTTGACTGTATAGATCTTATTGTTCGGATCCTTTTTTCACTCTTCTCCGTCTTATTTTTGTGAGTGGGAGGCAAACTTAAAGTTGTTCTCCATCGTTCTTAATGTTTTAACTGGTATGTCTAAATGAAGTTGATAAGAAATTTTGATTTGTTAACACGGCTCTTTATGTGTTTTTAGTGGTCTAAACTTACTTTTTAGTTCTCTGTAACAATCCTTTATTTTTCTCCTCATATTTGAAACTCACATCCACTTTGCCCCTATGGGAACTCGAACCTTCAACCTTCCACTTTGGATTTTGGGAGTTGAGGAAGTAGCACTAGGTTCGTTTAGGAAGTTTTGGTTATGACAGTAAGTCTTGTTAAGGCTGCTCTTTTATGTGTTTCTTGTGGTCTAAACCTCCTTTTTAGTTCTCTGTAACAATTCACCCCGCTCTCCCCCCCCCCCCCCCCCAAATCCCCATATTTGAAACTCACATCCACCCTACGGGGACTCGAACCTTCAACCTTCTTTTTTGGAAGGTGGGGAAGTAGCACTAGGCTACAACATTTTCGTTTTATTATTGTTTTTTTCGTTTAGGATATTTTGGTTTTGACAGTAGTCTTGAAATAGTTTACTGGTATGTCTAAATGAAGTTGATAAGAAATTTTGATTTGTTAACACGGCTCTTTATGTGTTTTTAGTGGTCTAAACTTACTTTTTAGTTCTCTGTAACAATCCTTTATTTTTCTCCTCATATTTGAAACTCACATCCACTTTGCCCCTATGGGAACTCGAACCTTCAACCTTCCACTTTGGATTTTGGGAGTTGAGGAAGTAGCACTAGGTTCGTTTAGGAAGTTTTGGTTATGACAGTAAGTCTTGTTAAGGCTGCTCTTTTATGTGTTTCTTGTGGTCTAAACCTCCTTTTTAGTTCTCTGTAACAATTCACCCCGCTCTCCCCACCCCGCCGCCCCCCCCCCCCCCCCCCAAATCCCCATATTTGAAACTCACATCCACCCTACGGGGACTCGAACCTTCAACCTTCTTTTTTGGAAGGTGGGGAAGTAGCACTAGGCTACAACATTTTCGTTTTATTATTGTTTTTTTCGTTTAGGATATTTTGGTTTTGACAGTAGTCTTGAAATAGTTTGAAATATATAAATATGTGAAAAGTTGCAAAGAAACTCTGAGAACCAAAAATGAAAGTTTTGTTGAGTACATAGTTTTATTTGTTCCTATGGCTGCTTATTTTTCTGAGTATTGACTCTTGTTTGTTCCTTTTTATTTTATGATTAATTAATGTTTAGACTTTCTGAATGAAATTTGATTTTTTGCAGCAAGATTTTTTGCTAAAGCTGATGGACCTGTTTAGAATCTGTGAAGATTTGGAGAATATTGAAGGACTTCATATGATATTTAAAATAGTCAGAGGGATCAGTGAGTATTCTAATTTGTGCCCCATTTTCTTATTTGGTCCTTAATGTATGGTATTTATCTGCTTATATATTCTTTTGCTAATTGACTTGTATATTTGGTTACCTGCAGTTTTACTTAATAGTCCTCAGATCTTTGAGAAAATCTTTGGGGATGAATTGATCATGGATATTATTGGGTCCCTTGAATGTAAGTCTTTTGTTGTTAAGAATTTCTTTTTAGTCATACCTTTCAAAAAAAAAAAAAAAATTTCTTTTTAGTCACCTTCTACAATCAAGTTTAATTATAGAATACTTTTGCCTCCATTTCAGGCTCTATTGATTTCGAATGAGTCTCTTAGTCCTATTGCCATTGATGAACTTTGCATCTCGGCTTATGTAGTTTCGTTTGTGGGCTAATTATTATTTATCCTCCTTTTGCAGTATTTGATTTTAGGTTATGGTTTTTAGTGCTGTCTTATTCTTGCCTTGATTAAGATGGTTACTCAAGTTCTTTGTTGCCTTATGCCAAGCTACATTATACCATCCCAATGAAGCTATTACAATATACATAATGTTTGCTAGCATGTTTTACTGTAGAACTTAGATATTTTCCCTTGTTTTCTAGTGTGTTTAGAATCACCATACCCCTAGGTCAAGCATACAAGGACTTGGCTAAAGCTTCCCCCCCTCCTCCCTCCCTTCTGTCGCAAGTGTGGGTTGTATTATGTAACCATTTTGTGTTTACAACTCTTTTACTGAATATTTATTGATAGCCAGTGAAGTGCATATCTCGTCGAGGAGGATATATTAGAATATTCACGTGAGAACGTGTTTTGTGATTGATTATTTTATTCCTTCTTTTTTGTTTATGATTTTAATTTATTTATTAATCCTACACATGAATTGAATTTTTTAATGTGCATATCGAAAAATTTGACATGCCTTTTGAACAACCTTAGCAAACAAAAGGAAAGGAAAAAAATTGCTGTATTTATATGTTATATTTGATGCGTTATTCATAGGAATACGGATGTTTTAATGTGTTACTTGTAGTCTTCCGGTCCATTACCCTTTGTGATTTTCTAGTATATTGATGATGATGACCTGCTTTGAATTTGGTTGGCAGATGATCCTGAGGCACCTCGTGTCCATCATCGAACTTTTCTGAAAGAGCATGTGGTGTTTAAGGAGGTACGCCTAATTCTTTTTTGGTTCTTATTTTCTTATTTTTTAGATGGGAGGTTGGGAGTTAGGGATGGAAGGAAGGGAGTTGAGCTTTATCTAGTCAAATAGGAGTATTGAATATATATATATATATATATATATATATATATATATATATATGTCTTCTTTAATATATTTGTTCCGTGTGTATGCATGTCTAGGCTATACCAATTAAAGATCCTGTAGTCCAGTCGAAGATACACCAGACTTACAGAGTTGGTTATTTGAAGGTAACTGTCTTCATTGCGTGCTGACCCTTTAGATTACTGTTTGTATTTGTGATGTAATCCCTATTCCTTATCACCATTTGCAGGATGTCGTCTTGCCTAGGGTGTTGGATGAGGCTACCACTGCAAGTCTCAATTCCATAATTCATTCAAACAATGGCATTGTAAGATTTTCCATGTTTAACTGTTCACACATTTTGCCCCTGTCCCCCCACCCCCCCAACAAAAATAAAATAAAATAAAATAAATAAATAAATAAATTTTTTTTCCCCTGATTGTCATATTTTCTTGTAGGTTGTTTCTTTGTTAAAAGATGACAGCACCTTCATTCAGGAATTGTTTGCAAGGTTGAAATCATCTACAACTTCTGCAGAGTCAAAGAAAACTTTGGTACGTGTCGAATTTGGATACCTTATTTTGCTTGGCTTGCTTTCGCTCTCTTGTCCACTCAAGTGTTATCATAAAAAATCTAACACTCTCTAGTTTTGGTTTTAAGTATTCTTTCTAATATTATAGCTAACTCTTATGTGTCATTTCTTCCTTCCCAATTTGTTTTCTTCTTTCATAGTGTTTTCAGTATGTAACTTATCAAAATAAAAGAAAAAATGTTTTTAGTATGTGGGAAATAGGAGAAGTTTACCATTTTTGGAAAAGCAACTTTTTGGTGGGGTGATTGATGGAAATTGGCAAGTCTATTTTGATGAATTTTATTGTCCTGTTTATCTTTTTTCTAAATATCTCGTGTTCCTTGCTCTGCCTTTCCTCAATAGCCATGGGTACTAGTAGGCTGTCATTCCATGATTAGATCCTTCCCTAGGGGCTCTTGCATTTGGTTATGTCATAATGCTAGAAGAAACTTTTGATTTTATCCTGAGTGCCTGTATCGGGTAGTTTAGCTTTCATAGAAGTGATCTGGTAGTAGACTCAAGGAAAAGGTTTTTCTACTTAGAACCAGTTTAGCATTTGGATTGTGTTCCATAACTGGCTGTCAAAAGTTATTTTCTCTTTTTATTTGTATATATCAATATATATAAAAGTGATTCTTGACATTCAAATGCGAATTAGAACTTTGGCCCAGCAACGTGAAAGCACCTTATTTGATAACATCTAGGGTTTTTGAGGCTGTTCCAGAATTTGCACAATTACTGTGGGAGTAGATCCTGAGAAAACTGGCTCTACTTAGAACCAGCTTAGTATTTGGATTCTGTGTTGCAGAGTTATTGCTGGCTGTCAAATGTGATTTTATGTCAACCTTGTTGTATTCATGTAAAGCTAGGGATTTTTGCCAAAAATTAATTTCAATTACAAGCTTCTCACGAGAGAGTGAGAGCGCCAAAATTTAAAATAATTATTAGCTCCCAAAGCGTCTCTACTTAAAAATACTTCGAGGTGCACATGTAGTTAAAAATACTTAGAGGTTCTCATGTTTCATCGTTTGAATCTTCAAGTCCCAAAATTTGGCTTAAGCTTGTCAATGTTTAACTTAAAATGTTCCAGCTTCCAAACTCATCAGCAACACCTTCTTGGGGAACTTTCCTTGAGGGAAGCTCACAACTAACATAAGGTATTCCACTTCGAGAATCTCCTGTGGTGGAAGGAGAAATATGCGGCCTTCTGATTACAATATTTAATCACTTGATCCAAGTAGAAAGAAAGAAAGAAAGAAGAAAAGGAAATGAATTGCTTGAATTCTGACATGATCTTGTCAGCAATCTCTCTGTTCACATCCCATTGTAAAGACATTTATAAAACCATCAAGATATTTTATTTGAATTTGCAATTTTAAAACCTGACAATGAGACCCTTACTTTCAGTGACCGGTTTTTCAATCCAGGTTTGAGTTTTACTATAAATGTCTTTGATGATCTCCCCCTGCATTGTGGTCAATTTATAGTGAAATTTGTATCGAGTTAAGTGCATTATTCTCCTCACGCCTGGTGAGGATTAGGTAGCTCTTTGTAAATTACTATATTTTGAAACAGTCCCTTTCAGAGTACTTTTTTTCTGTTCTTCTTCTTTTTTTTTAATTAGTAGATGTTGGTTTAATTTTTAACTTCTCTTTTTGTGGTGTATTTTCTACGACATGCCCCCAGTGGATTGAACTGTTTCCTTTTATTTTGTGGTGCATGCAGGTGTTATTCTTGCATGAGTTTTGTAGTCTAAGCAAGAGCTTGCAGATGGTCCACCAACTCCGGCTATTTAAGTATGCCCAACAGAAGTTGCACTTTTCAATTTTATGTTGTATCAAAGTTTTGGAGTGAAATTGGTTAAATGCAATCTCGAGAATATTTCATTTGTTCAAGATCTTTAATTATGTATATTTTTGTAATTTCATTTTCGTATATTAGTACAATTCAAAAATTTTAGTGCTTGTAGAATTTTATTATCTTATTTATGTGTATTAATAAAATTCAAAACTATTAATGCTTGTAGGGATCTTGTGAATGAAGGGATATTTGACATCATCTCTGATGTTTTGCAGAGTCAAGATAAAAAGCTTGTATTAACTGGGTAACGACCCAAATCATTTCATTCTTTAGTATATTGCGTCTCCTTTTTGTTTTCCCTCCGATGAATGATAATATAGTCATACTGATATGTTGTTTTAACGATGCAGGACAGACATCCTCATTTTTTTCCTGAATCAGGATTCAAACCTTCTGCGTTCATATGTCACTCGGCTGGAAGGGCACCCTCTTCTTGGACTTCTGGTATGTAACTTAGTACGTTTATTGTGTAGTGTGTACAATTTACATGTCTATCATTCTTGAAAATAGTGTGAGAACGTCCGCGGCCTAAACTATTACAGGTACCTTGTTTGTGTTTGTGCGCCCCTTCAAGCCGAAAGCAAGATATCATGTTCTGTGATGTTTGAGATTAAGGAATATATATGATATGCAATCAAAATTTGCTTATTAAACCAATAATAGGATGCATTGCACCTAGTAACTTTATTCAGTATGGGTTTCCAATAGGGGTGGCAATTCGTGTTTCTATGTAGTATTCATATTGTGTCATGTATGGGTTGACACGAACACGACACGATTATTCCTTGACACAAACACAACACAATTATTAAACAGGTTACACGACACAACCAGACCTGATTAATAAATAGGTCAAGACCTTATATGACACGACAGGACATGACACACTTAATTAAAACTCCATACTTGTAGGGTCATTTCAAACACGATACGCTTATCTGACACATTTAGTTACACGGGTCTATTCGGGTTATAAACGGTTGGTGGGTTAAGCGCGAAGACGACATGTCTAATTAGCATGTCAATTCGGGTCAGTATGATTACAACCCGAACACGATTAAGCCAAACCCAAACCCAAACCCACTTTTAGTCTGCTGTTCCACATCATTGGAAGATGAAGTAATTGTGTGATTGTATATATGCAGGTGAAAGGTATGATAACAGATTTCGGGGATGACATGCATTGCCAATTTCTTGAAATCCTTCGCAGTCTTTTAGATACATCAGGATTACAGGTGCCTTGATTATTCAATTTCTCATGGATTATTTCTACTTTGGGATGCCTATGTCAATTGGTAAATGGAGTTGCGCAATAAATTTGAATTATCATCTGTTGTTGTACTCATCTTGTTGCTATGATCATATTATGCAAATCAACTCAACAAACTCCTTTTTCGACGATTTGATATCAGCTAACTGAATATGGTGTTGTTAATCTGCTCCAAGACCATGTCTTTTGTTAAACAATGCATTACAATATAGTTCTTCCTTAACCCATAATTTGATCTTCCGCTTTATCCTCAATGTTGATTCTCGTCTCTTGCTTTACCAAACCAGTTTAATCATTTTTCTCATATATGTTCCCCAAGACGACACTTCATTTTCCCATGAATATATTCCTTTCTGATTTTATCTTTTCGTGTATTACCACACATTCATTTTTAAAAAATTGCATTTCGCCCATTCCATTTTATGAACATATTTTTTATTAACTGCTGCTCTTTTTCTCTAATGAAGTATGGCTAGTCTAATAAGTAATAACTTTTGGGTATATATTTCTCACACAATATGTCAAAAACACTGCATTTAACCCATTCTATTTTAAATGTTTGAGCAACATCATATCTGATTTCTCCTTATTAACAACTTTTGAGTTGTATCACATAATAAGCAGAAGCATTACTCCATACTTTTATGAGTAACATTATATTCATATTCTGCAATTAATTAGGTATGATTTTCATCTTAATTATGCTTGGTAAGAAGCGCACAGCTTGGATTGAGGCAGCTTATTTTTTAGATTGGCTTGTTTGGAATTGAGACGGGGGCACTTATTAGCCTAACTTGATACTGCGATGGAATTTTATCAACTTCATCTCTTGGCACGATGTATCATAGTTGTCGTCTTGTGTATTATTTATTGTTTTGCTTCTTCTTAAAACCGTGTATCTATGATACCCTTAATCGTTTTAAGTGTTGGTATCAGTAATGAAGTCAATTTGCCCATTACCATATGTTACAAGACACGAAAGTAATGCTGAAAATTGACTGAAATAATGAAAACTCACAATCATGAATAGTATAAAAAAGAAAAAATCACTGGTACAGTGAAAGGAGTAAATTGATTTGACTTGACGGTTGTAGTTTTTTTAAGGTATTGAAATGTCCTGTTACTACAAAATTTGATATCTTTTGCCAACCCAATTCATTACAGTGATTTTTTGTTTTTGTTTTTCATGAGTCCTGTCTAAGTTGTTGATTTCCTAATCCCTTTTTTTCTTATTTTTATATGGCCGGTGTGAAGGATCAATTCTTGTTCTTTACCAGAACATCATAATCGGTATTTGGTTGTTTTGCATGCTTTGCAGCTCTATCTTTTGTTTGTTTGTTTTTTTTTTTTTCCTAGTTCTTTTTTTTTTTTAATTATTTTTTATTTTTTATATATGTGTGTATGCATCTTTTTAATGGGCATGTGTGATATACTCCGTATTTTCATGTTCCAAATTTTATATTTTAAGTTTTAACCACCATAAACAATTCAAATATTTTAGATTTATGACAAATTTTCATTACAGATCATCGTCAAATCATAGAAAGGGGTGGTTTCAATTTTTTTGAAATCTTCAATAACAAACTTCCCACAATATAGGAAAATTACTGGAAATAATACCCAAGGTTAGGCTTGTACCCAAAGGTTAAACTTTTCATTGGAGAACCAATTGTAGCAGTGTCAAACTGCGCTAGTTATTCATATTTGTTAGGACTTTCAAGTTTGTTCCTTTATCCATTCATTCTTCTTCTTCTTCTTCTTCTTCTTCATTGAGCTTTGTTTTAAACAACACCCCACCCAAACGAGAGAGAAGTTGGAAGTCCTAACAAATATGAATAACTAGCGCAGTTTGACACTGCTACAATTGGTTCTCCAATGAAAAGTTTAACCTATTGTTTAATCCATTTTTATTTTAATCTATTGTTTTTTTTTTTTTTCAAAAAGCATTTGCCTCTCTTTCATATTTAAATAATTAGTGTACTGTAAAAGTTCAGACTGAGAGCATGAAAATGTGTTTTCGATTATGAAATTAGTCAATTTGTGTAGATTAGTTCCCAAATGTTAGGGTTTTTTTTTTTTTTTTTTTCCTATCCGACCTTATACATTTACCAATATTTGCACATTTTAAGTCTACCACATGTTTTCGGTTTGTTTATGCATGTGTCATTTTAATTATTTGTCGCCATATATTTGAAAATTTGTTGTGAAGTTTGCATGTTAAGATTGAGTTCCTTTCACATTCTTTGTTCCTTAACAGTTGTTCTGTTTGAGCCTATTGTATATATTGAGTGTTCGATTGTTTTCATTTTTTGTTGCAGATTGTCGAGATCTTCTATGAGAAGCACTTGGGTCAGCTAATTGATGTCATAACATCATCATGCCCTCCAGGGGGCATTGGTGAATCAGTCTGTACATCCGCAGGATCTGCTGGAAGCTCTACGGTTCAATCCCGTGCGAAGCCTGAAATACTTCTAAACATATGTGAACTGTTATGCTTTTGCGTTTTGCACCATCCATTTAGAATAAAGTAATCTTCTGGGCACTCATTGTATGGTCATTTAGTTGTGATCTGCTGTTGCTGACCATACAATATGTGGACGTGTCTGTTTCTCTTCCTGTTTGCAGGTGTAATTTTCTTCTCAATAGTACTGTAGATAAAGTTTTGTTTCTGACTCGAAGAAGGGAAAAATACCTTGTAGTTGCTGCTGTGCGATTTGTTCGAATTCTTATTTCCCGTAACGTAAGTAATTTTATTTGATCCTCGAAAAGGAATTCTTTTGCTGGCGTAGTTGAAATTTATGTTGTAGGTAATGTTCTGTATAAATTTGCCTTCTAGGATGAATATAATTTTTCATTTCTTGATATAACTGGAGTAATTAATTTTTTCTTTTTCCCAATTGGTCAACAATGTTGCCTGTTACACACTGGATCGCGTCTTTAAAGAGTTCATTGCCAGAGGCTTTCTTTTCTTTTCCTTTCTTCTTGCTCTCTTTTGTCCTTTTATTGAATAATAAAAAAAGCTGATTGGGTAGCATAATTCAGAAGCTTCATTTATTGACAGATTAGAGTAGTGAAGTGATCTATATTGAAACGTGAAAGTTTCATTAGGGGAGGTCCACCGCTCTTGGTCTTCCCTTGATATAATTTTACAGCATCTCTCTTTCTCTTGACATAATGATGTTTTAAAGTTAGCCATGATTGTATTTGCCATAGCAGTGGTGGCATGGTAGGGAGCCATGATAAGGGCTAGAAATCATTGTTGTAAAACTATATGTTTTACATATTGTTTTGCAGAGAAGGGTTTTGATGGTGATGAAGTTTCGGGGCTGGGATTTTGAGCCATTGTGTAAAAGTATGGAATGCTCTTTGGTAGTAAACTGTTAGAAGTATTATGTACTTGTTGAAGTTAGAATTATTGTTTTTGCCAAGGGAAAAAGCATGTCGGTTATTTTAGGTCTGGGATTATGTTACAATATATTTCATTTTATTTCAGATTCTCAATGTTGCTTGTGGGCTGCCAAATATCTAGTGTCAAAACAGTATTAGCCAAGAAGGATTTTTGCTTCACTTTCTGATTTTTTTTTTTTTTTTTTTTTTTCCCTAGTTCACTTTCTGAATGTTCGCGTGTCAGATTTCCTATCTGGCATACCTTTCACTCACTCCCACAAACCTTTTATGCTTTCTCATTTAATCAGGGTGGAGGAGCAAGTCAAAATAGAAATACTGACATTGGCTTTTAAGTTTTCATACTTAACCTTTTAACCCATTGTTATTTCAACAGCATGGGCAGGGCAGTTGAAATGGTTGATTAGAGTTGTTGAACCTGTTAATCAGCTCAATTAACTGTTTAATTTTGGTTGAATTTCAAAAACATTATTAGGCTTTGAAGGTAAAGAGGTAGATACGATGAAAAATGGTGGGCATAACTGCTGAATGTATTTTGGTCTTGTGTTGCATTAGCTATATCTACTCAGTATATTTTGTAAGGGGGAAGAGTAACTCTCTCGTAGTCTCGGAGAGACAGTTCCAAGTCCTCAGGTATTTCATGTGTTTATTTCGCATCCCTGCTTCTGCGAGAAAAGATTAAAGAAACTTCAAAGGAACTACTTTAGTTCTGGTTTTTGGATGGAGTAATATGGGTGACTGGGGAACATTTTGTTCAACAGTTAGTGAGGAAGGCTTGGGCATAAGAAATCTGAGGCTGTTTAATCAGCTTCTTTGGGGAGTGTTTTCTGGAAGTTAGGTGAGGAAAGAATAGTTTATGGAGGATGGTCGTGTGGAGGAAGCGTGGTAGTGAGGGACAAATGGGTCTGAAAGAAGTGTGATGGTCTTATAGGCTAGGGTTCTAAAAGAATATGTGTAGAGGATGGGAGAAGTTTTCCTATGGCCTCTTGGATTCAAGAAGAGGCCATTATGTTGACATGTACAACTGGTTTGCTGACACTTGAATGTGAATGAGTCTCTTCATCTATCAATGATTTTTTTTTTATTTTTAATTTTCCTTCTGTGCTCAAAGTTGACTAACATGTTTCCTGAAGCAAGGAAATAACTACTAGTATTGATTTGTATAAATTCCCTTCAGGAATGACCACTGAACTTCAATGGGAGAATAACAATGAATAGGAAAACTGTGGTAAATCTCTTTTATGTTGTATTTCAACATACTAATTATTTTGTTTCCGTCAACTGCTACAATTCGTAATTTTGCATGTCTTTTGAGCCTGTATTGTTAAATAAAAATAAAACTAGAAAACATGTGCTCGCGCACACAAAAAAAACACATGCAACAAGCCAGGCTAGTTCTGCCTGAACCAGTAATTCTTATGGGTTAGTATATTGTTTAATGAGGTAAATCTATTTGGTGTTTTGCAGGATGAGTACCTGATGAATCATATTGTGAAGAACAACCTTTTGAAACCAATTGTGGAGGCTTTTGTTGGCAATGGCAATCGTTATAATCTTTTGAACTCTGCAGTTCTAGAACTTTTTGAGTATATGCGGAAGGTTCTTGTGTATTCTACTTGACTTTTATATTGCATTTAGATGGATACACCTGGAAGTTGCATCCTGATGAGCTTGTGTCATGCAGGAGAACTTGAAGATATTACTTAAATATTTAGTTGATTCGTTCTGGAATCAGTTGGTCAATTTTGACAATTTATCTTCGATACAATCTCTAAAAGTTAAATACGAGCAGGTCTCTCTCTCTCTCTCTCTCTCTCTCGCTCTCTATCTATCTATCTAGATTACAAATCCTTGGTTATTGACTGTGCATTTACAGTCCCTGGAAAACTCTGGAACAAGAGGCACGGTTGATGTGCTAGATCCCAGAAAACGAACAGATGGGCGTGGTCTGGAGAAAGAAGAGGAAGATTACTTCAACGAGGATAGGTATGTTACTATCTATAAATAGAAGTTGTACCTAAAAGTTTCAGCCAACAGCCTCTGAATCTGGATTCTTAATCAGTGATGAAGAAGATTCAGCATCTGCATCCATGTCACATACCAATAGAGTGCGAGCTCAGCCTGTTCCCAATGGATCTGCTGCAAGCTATTCATCGTTAAGGTATTGTATTTGCCTCTGCCACAATGTTGATTTACATCGCATATGCTGTATTTTGAATTACTCTTTTTTATTTTTGTAGTTCAAGGTCTGGGGGACTTGTTGATTATGATGACGACGAGGATGATGAAGACTACAAGCCACCACCTAGGAAGCAGTCAGACCCTTCTGATGAAGACGAGGGAACAATTGAATCCTTCAGGTTAAAACGGAAATTGACTTCAAAAGAGGATCCTGAGCCGAAAAAGAAGCAGCGATTGGGTAAAAATGTAAAAAAGGAGAGTGTATTTGCTGCCTTGTGCTCAACTCTGAGTCAGGCAGTATTACCAAGTAAGAAAACAGCAAGCGCCGTGGATATTGTTCCTCGCTCCGCTGATTCAGACAAGAGCAGCTCAAATGAAGAGAACCGCCAAGAGAAGGGACATTCTGCAAACTGTCCTGATAATGGTAGCAGTTCAGATGAGGAATATCATTTAGGCAAGGAGCCTGCTGCTCCTAGAATCTGTTCAGATAGCTTGCACAATACTTCAGACGGTAGGAAGATGGGTGGGGAGGATTGTCCGTTGGTACCTCAAAAGTCCTCACCAGAAATGGCTGTAAATGGATCTTAAGTTATTATGAGGAATTATATTGGACATTGTGACTTCTTCATCTGTTGGATACAACTCGTATATGTGCTAGTTGGCAATCAGCTCTGTGCTACTAAAGGAAACCCAAAAGAGAACTGAGCCAAGAATACGGGAATGATTGGTTGGTTTATTATAGTGTTCCAGCACGGGGAGCGGATACTGTACAGTTAGAAGGCTGCGAGACGTCATACTCTTATAATGTGGTTCCAGACTTCATTCAGTCGTTTTGATGTTTTGAGCTGAGTACTTTTTGCTTCTGTAAAACATTCATCAGCATTAATTCTTCCTTTTTTTCCAATTTTCTTTTCATCTTGTGTCGCGGTCACTGTTTTTTTTTTTTTTTCTCTTTATTAGCAATATGAATGATGTGATAGGTGGGGTACAAAAGTCACCCTATGTGGTTTCCCTTCATTGTGCAGTTTCTGCTTTTTGTTGAGTGAGTGCTGTTGGTGTAACAGTGAGGAAAATTTAGTGGATTGGTTTGAGGTCAAATTTTCTGATTTAGCATTCAGTGTAATCTTATACATAGACAATTGTACATTAAAATCTTAAAGTCTAAATTTTTCGGCTGGAAATTGAGTAATGGTATTTCCAATTAGAATGTGTCCAAAATTCAGAAATCTTACAGATTTTTAATGTATAACTTCCAAGTCTTTTACAGTCCTCTTTGTGAGATTTTATTTTTTTCCTGAATTCTCTCTGAGATTTTTGGTTTGTGTTGTTGAAGTTTATGGTGTGTATATTATTAGGAGACTGGACGCTTTTACTTGTTTTGGTATCTCATCTGAACGGCCATTTCTCTGAGCATACTACAGAAATAATTAATCGATTAGATTAAATTTAAAATTTGTGGGCTTTTTTTTTGGTATCAAGGGTCCCGTCGAAATAAGAAAATCGTTTCGAGTCAAATGTCAGTAGTGGAGTGGGGGCTCAAACACACATCAAACAATCAGAGTTGATCTCTCGATTGTGAAACATACAATATTTGGAAATTTTATAATATGTGAAGGTGCATTAAGATACAATATTCTCAAATTATAATAATGTAGAAATCAAATTTCACATTAGGAACAAAGTAGAATTTAAGAGAGTAAAACAGGGTAAAGTAAGAAAAATATATGATAAAGTATATTATAATTGATTGTTAATCCTTACTAGTGTACTGTAGCGAAACAAAAGTACGATGCTTTTGTTTGCTTTGTTACTGTAGCAAAGCAACTGTATTACATTAACTAACCATTCCAAATTTTAAACTTACAATATAACAAGTTTACGTTACCAAACAAACTTTCAAATAATGTTGAACATAAAGTAAAACATTGTTTCTACTTCAATCAAAGTAAAAATACAAAGCAATTAAACGGGCCTAAATAAATCCATTATGATTAAACCTTGTATGAGTGGATTTTTTTTGAAGAACAAAGAACAGTCTCTCTTCAATTCTTAATATAGAAAAACTGAATTTTGAAATTTAAGTCCGGTCTTTGTTCCTTAAAGGAAGCAAACCGCGAGGCATTCAAAACGAAGGACGCGGGTGTCGTTGAAGAAAATCGACACGTAAGGGGAATGCTACGCGTGTCCTACTCTAACCTCTTCTTATTACTTCTACTCTCTCTCACTCATTCCCCCCCTCTCTCTCTCTAAACCGACCAGACCAGTACAGGATATTGAAGAAGAAGAAGAAGAAGAAGAAGAAAATAGTAGTAATTAATTAAAGATGAGTAGCAATATGGAGACACGAACACTGCTGGATGAGTTTCGCAGCTTTGACAAGGGCGGTTTCTTTGATCTCGGTCACCCTCTCCTCAACCGCGTCACCGAAAGTTTCCTTAAAGCCGCTGGTGTACGTTTATATATATATATATACACACACACACATTCATACATTTCTCACTTTCTCTCTCTATACAATATATGCATGTGTCTTGATCTCTGTCTCTTAACCGATGATCATCACTTCCAATTACAGATTGGAGCGGTTCAGGCCGTGTCTCGCGAGGCTTTTTTCACCACTGTTGATGGTCAGATCCATATATATATATATATATATATATATATTTATATATGTGTGTGTTTGTTCAATTATATTATGTTTTGTCTCTCAGGTACGGGTGGGGATACTGGCGGTTTACCACCGGAGATAACAGGTAGCAAGAAGCATCGTTTTCCAGATCTCAAAGGTACATACCTACTTCACCTCCCTAATTTCATTCGCTTGCTTCACATTTCGTCTTCGCTGTGGTTTGCAACTCATGATATGCTTTGTTTTTTTACTTTATTAATTACTACCTAAAATTTATTTATTAGGAGGTCTCTAGTTTGTTTAGAGAAAAGTAATTTCTCATAGTGGCCATTTGTGGCTGTGTGATTCTCATTTTAAAGTTTGTACAGTCACGCAACAGATTAAAAATCCTCCATTGTTGTATATGGAGTTAGGATATGAATGAAATCTTGTATTGGGACATTTTTTCGGGGGAGACTCAGCCTGCAATGTATTTTTCTATATTCGTCGTCTGGCCTGTGTATATTTGTTTGAATATCGTGGCACATTACATAGAGTTACATATGTTTTATTTGCTGCTCAATTCAATTTAACTTGGGAAGTCCCATTCTCTGTGTCAGTGTGTGTGTGTTTTAACCTTTGTTCTGTATCTGCTTTTCAGGAGAAAACAACAGAAAGTCTATTGAAGCCTTGGTAAGTTTGAAACCTACCCAGTTTCTTTCCTTTTTCTGTTTTTTTTCCCCTTTCTTCTTGTTTGGGATCACTATGGTTGATTTACTGCCTCTGCGGTCGCCCAACCTCAAGGGTAGAGAAATAAATTAGTTAGTTAATTAGTTTACTAACTAATCAGCGCTTGTTAATCATGTCTGATCTTGGAAAATGTTATTCAGGTGAAGAGTACTGGAAAAGAATCTCTACAGTGGGGTAAGTGTGTGCACCGTTGTCTTTTCTTGTTCTTTTTAAAACTCTAGAATAGGCATGAAATGGCTGACTGGACTATCTCGTTGTCTCAATCTTTAGCATTCGTGCTTTAAGAAGATTGAATAATTGCTCAATTAGCTAGCTGTTACGTGCACACCACTATTTTCTGTGCTTAGGACCAACTGTTTGGAAAATAGACACCAACACAAAGTTAATGAGATATCAGAGTTTATTGTTACCTTGCCCTGTTATTCGATGGGCGATTTCTAATTAAAGTTAATGAGATATCAGAGTTTATTGTTACCATGCCCTGTTATTTCATGGGCAATTTCTCATTTTCTGTAGGGAAGATTAATTTATAGTTGGGCTGTACCGGCTGCTATTTGAACTATGGCATATATTTCAAGACGTGACCCTAATATTGTTCTAAGCTTGTAATTATGCCCGAGCTCTTTGTATATGTGTTGTATTTATGATGAAAGGGAAGACTGCCATTCTGTTTTTTTACTGCAGGAGTGGCTGCAGGAATGTACTCTGGTCTCACCTATGGGCTGAAAGAGGCTCGTGGAACTCATGATTGGGTAATGCTACTTATCATTTCCATGATATCTCTTATTTGGTGTGTTAGTGGCTTTATGTGTCCTTACATTTTCATCAAATATAGGAATCGGTCAAATGATGGTAATTAATTTCCTCTTCCTCTTGTTTTGATTTCATTATTATGAGATGTGAAATGGATGGGCATTTGTCAGAGTGTAGTTCCTTTGAAGGAGCACCCCAAACAATAAATCCACTTTGAGATTCTCTGTCGAAATTTTATTAGCTCCTTTTTAAGACGAATATGGCAGTCTCTTCTTTGCTTACAGACTTTAGGCGTAATTTGGAAAGAGGCTTGGTTACAAGCATAATGTTAATATTATTTTAAATCTCTCTGTTTGGTCCAAATAAATAAATAGACAGTCTGAGCAATAGCAATATCAATATATATACTACGTATATGTAGTGCTAACAAATATCAATTTACTCCTATCTCATTGACTTCATCAGCATGTAAAGCCTTATAAGCGTATCATGTGGACAAAATGCCATCAGTTCTGTTCCGACTCCTAAACTCGAGACTGATGTTTATACTGGGAATTGGATGCATCATGTTCCAAGTTTTTTTGTTGATAGTCTCGGAATAAGATTAATTGATTTTTTTTTTTTTTCTTCTAATTTTGTGTGGTGCAGAAAAACAGTGCTGTTGCAGGAGCAATTACAGGGATGGCACTGGCAATCACATCGGATAATTCTTCCCATGAGCAAGTTGTGCAATGTGCCATTACTGGTGCTGCTATCTCCACTGCTGCGAATCTCCTTGCCGGGATATTCTGAGCTGGTGATGGGGCAACACAACACGAGCCTACCTACGATTGTAGTTGCCTTTTTGTCTATTTTAATGTTCAAAGAACATAATGCCTTGAGTTTTTGTCTTGGGATTGATATTTTGTTTCAAAATTATGGAAGTTCTAGCTCCCTACTATTTTGGTGTGTTTCAGCTGTTGGTTAATTAATCTTTGATGGTAAGATCATATGGACAGGATCAGGTTTTTTATAGAAGTAATTTTCAGTGGTTAATTCATTTGCTTTAGGGGTTTGATTGTGTGAATGCAAGCAAAAGAGATGAACTGGTATAGGTTTCTAAACCAGGTTTGGTTAGATTCGTTAATAATTTGGGTGGTTTTATGTTGGGCGAATTGTAAAAAACTCCCCTCGACTATTACCCATTTGCAAGAAACTCTCCTTGTAAATATTTTTAGCAAGAAACTCCCCTCAACTACGAGGAGGGGGTGATTTGACTTACCTCCGTTTAACAATTTTGTGAGACAATTTATTCAGTCTGGGTCAGTAGCTTCAGTTGGGTCTACACCACCTGAAAAAAAAAAAAAAAAAAAAAAAAATTGGGTCTTCTCCCCGTGTGTTAGCCGGAGTTGCATGCACACCCTGGAGCTCACTATCAGTTCGGCTGCCGTTGAGGTTGGTTGTCATTGCACGGAGCTCGCCGTTGAAGCTAGTGTTCAAACGGAGGTCAGATGGCATCGATTAAGGTTCTTCTTATCAGAAGGAGGCTATACACTGGTTGATCTGTTAGTGGTAACTTATTTCATTGATTCTTCAAAATTCCATCTTTCTCCTGTTCTCTATCAATATAATGAGAACTGCTGAAACTGATTGTTTTTTATTGACCCAAAACAATATTAAGTATATAAAAAAATGAAAAAATGAAAAAAGAAGAAGGAACTATTGAAGTTAAAGAAGATGAAATTCTTGATATTTTTGTGGGTAGGCTTTTAATTGTTGTTCTGGATTGAGGTGAGAAGCAAGGAATGATAGGGGGAGAGATAAATAAATGAAAATCATAGGAGAAGGTGCTTTTAATTGGGGAAGAAATTAGTAGGATGAAAGCTTCCCTCTGCACCACAAATCTCCCTTCACATGTAGCTTTCAATTGTCAAAGAAATTACTGGAAGTGGGTAGGCTTTTTTAATTGTTTTTGTTGATTGTGCTCGACTCAACGCTGGAATTTTGTTGATGATTTTTGGTCATAATATATATATATATATATTTGTGTAGAGTCTGTGAATCTTGAGTCAGTACAAGTAACAGAGTTCTTTGTTAGAGGTATTTTTTCTTCATTTTTTTTTTTTTTTAGATGTGACTATTAAATGATGGAAACAAAGGGTCTCAATAGATGATTCTTTTATAACGCCGGGGGCTAGTCAGCAAAATTTGTATTCAATTGCAATCCTAATATAAGTTTTAGTTAATCTGTAATTCACAATTTTTTTTGTTTTGTTTTTAGTGTGGGTGTAATTTTCCTAATACAAGCAAGTGAATTGTTGGATTTCTTCATTCAATATTTTTAAGCTAGGTCATTGAACTGCACTCTATTTGGTTGATTTTTTGAGCTCTCTCTGTGTATTTTTAAAGATTTTTTAAGCTAGGTCATTGAACTGCACTCCATTTGATTGATTTTTGAAGCCATCTCTCGCTGCATTATATATATATATTGCTCTCTCTCTTTTCTTACACAGTTCTTAGAAAGTGAGGAAAAAGACCCAATTTTTTTTTTTTCTTTTTTTTTTTTCTTTGCATGGTGAAGACCCAACTATACCCAGATGTAAGGGTAATTTAGTCAGAAAAAAAATTAATTCACAAGATTATTAAATGGAGGTAAGTTAAATCACCCCCTCCTCATAGTTGAGGGGGATTTCTTGCCAAAAATATTCACAAGAGGGTTTCTTGCAAATGAGTAATAGTCAAGGAGGATTTTTTGCGATCCGCCCTTTTATTTTTTGGTTATTTATTTCAAGTCATCCCTCTCAGTTCTACCAAGATTGGCCATCCAACCATGCACAAAGATTCTGCTCAATATTAATGAGAACAACTTATGTTTTTCATGAAATTGTGCAATACATTATTAATTGGGAAAATTACATATAAATGGAGTTAAAGTTTCATATTTACTTAGAGACTGAGTCAAAGTTCCATATTTCTCTAAAATGGATTGCTGAGGTGGCACATGGTTTATTACTGTTTAAAAAATTGTGGTGCCTAAAATGCCCTTCCCTAACAAAAAAAGTAGTACCTTCAGTTCAAAAAAGTAGTACCTTCGCGAGTGTTTAAAAAACATGGTACCTGGACACCAAAAAGTAGTACCTTCAGTTCAAAAAAGTGGTACCTTTGGAGAAAAAGTAGTACCTTCACGGAAGGGTATTTTAGACACCATAATTTCTAAACAGTAAAAAACCATGTGCCACCTCAGCAATCCATTTTAGAGAAATATGAAACTTTGACTTAGCCTCTAAGTAAATATGAAACTTTGACTCCATTTATATGTAATTTTCCCTTATTAATTCCTCTTAGAGTCTTAATCTTACATTTATTTCAGACTACATTTTCATATTCCTTTCAATTTTCTTTATGCTATCCTCATTTCAAACAAATTAACAGCGGTAAAACAGTCTATAATTAAATTAGTCTTGAATTTAAATAATGGGGCGATAATCAAAAGATAAAAATATTCTCTATTTTGATACATATTACATATACATTTTATCTTAAAGACTTAGGTAATTGAAATTAGATTGTGCTTTTATATATATATATATATATATATATATATATATATATATAGCAAGAAATATATAACACGAGATGAAAAGAAACAAAGAGAGAAATGAACTTTTTATTTTATGTTCTATTTTAAGTTGAACTCAATACAATTCATGCATATTTATAAACAAATTTCCCTCACTTCTTATTCACTTCCAACCCTATCCATAAAATTTATTGGGAAAATTACATATAAATGGAGTTAAAATTCCATATTTACTTATAGACTGAGTCAAAGTTTCATATTTCTCTAAAATGGATTGCTGAGGTGGCACATGGTTTTTTACTGTTTAGAAAATTGTGGTGCCTAAAATGCCCTTCCCTAACAAAAAAGTAGTACCTTCAGTTTAAAAAAGTAGTACCTTCGGAGAAAAAGTAGTACCTTCGCGGGTGTTTAAAAAACATGGTACCTGGACACCAAAAAATAGTACCTTCAGTTCAAAAAAGTAGTACCTTCGCGGAAGGGTATTTTAGGCACCACAATTTCTAAACGGTAAAAAACCATGTGCCACCTCAGCAATCCATTTTAGAGAAATATGGAACTTTGACTCAGCCTCTAAGTAAATATGAAACTTTGACTCCATTTCTATGTAATTTTTCCAAATTTTAATTTCTTCTCACATACCTAACCCAAATAATTGGTCAAAGTAATAAATATGTGGACCCTACGTCAACTTTTACAACAATATATATATATATATATATATATATATATATATATATATATATATTTGTGTATCTAAAGTGAATTTTTAATTGAAGAGAGTTGAGAATGACAAATCTAACTGAATTTCTGTCTCCCTCTGCCTTTATTATGTATTGTATTTATATATATACTAGCAAAGAGTTCGTGCATCTGCATGCGATTCAAACTCTTTGAGAAATTGTGAATAAATTTACTTGACGCAAACTAGGTAAATGCATAGTTTAGTAAACTAAATTGTAAATTTAAAGAATAAAAATTTTCAATTGCTAGACTAATATCATTACTTATATAATGCTCCAAATTAACATATTCTAGAAAGTCCATCAATTAAATTGCTCGTAATTTCTGAATTGATGAATATCATCTCTTAATATGTGTCTAGAATTCAATTCATTTTTTATTAGTTTTCTCGCCCTAAAATTATACAATAATAAACTATTAATCTAATCATTCACACATGTAAATAGTTTAGAAAACTAGGGTTCTTGTTGAAATAGGCCACCCCAAAAGCGTAGGTACAAAAAATTATGGAAGAAAATTGTAGCTTCCTAAATATTTAAGAGAGAGAAGGTTTAAAATGAAGCAAAAATATGTTAATGAATTATGTTGGAATTATAAAATGAAGATTTAAGAGATAGGATGTTTCAAATGAAGCAAACATTAATTTTATGTAATAGAATTATACTATTAGGATTTGAATTATATATATATATATATATATATATATATATATATATATATATATATATATATATAATAGGGATGGCAAAATAGGTCACAACCCATCAATTCGCTTATATCCGTCCGTTTTTTAATGATTTTTGGTGAATCATATTTATAATGGGTCAAAATGAGTTGGTTAATTGTTAACCATTTAATTTTAGGATCAAGATGGGTTGAATATGGATAACCATAAGATGGGTTGAATATGAATAACCATATTCAATCCATATTTCACACATCACATAATATACACACAACACAATACAGATCTATTCTATATTGCACTTAACCCATTTTTTTCTCTCTCTCTCTCAAATTCTCTCACTCATGATCTTCTCTCTCTAAATTTGTCTCTCATCAATTCCCTCTTCCTAAGTTTCTCTCTCCAGAAATTTCTTCTCTTTCTTTCACTTCTCTCTCTCTCAAACCAGTCTATAAATATTGTTGAGTTTGAAATTGTTTTTTTATTTGTTATTAAATTTTTTTTAAAACCTTTAAAAAATAATAAATTAAAAATAATAAAAAAATTTAAAATTTAAATTTAAATTTAAAAATAATTAAAAAATAGTTAAAAATAATAATTAATAAGTCCATGGCTCATAACGTTGACCCTATATATTTTTGACCCGCCTATTTTTAACCTGTTTGAATATAAGTTTTGACTCATATTTGACCTGTTCATTTTCAACCTAGCTCAAACCCAACCCAAACCGCCCATTTGTCACTCCATTGTATATATGTATATATATATTTTCAATAATAAATACCTTACCTATTTTTTCTCTCTTATCTCTAAATTGCTTTCACAGATAGGGGTGGGTAAAAAATCCGCCAATCCGTGAACCCAATCCGATCCGTATGTATTGGATCGGATTACCAGACCCATGGATCGGTGGCGGATTTAAAAAAATTGAATCCGTAGTTCACGGATCGGATCA